ATATCAGGTTTATATTTTTTTACCATCCCTTATAATAGGCTCTTTTGGAAATGAACGAAGTAGATGATGCTATCCCAATTCTCCAGAAAGTACTAACAATATCCCCAGGTTCACAAATGGCTAGTGTTGAGTTAGCCCGTGCTCAAGCTGTACGACAGAAAGAACGAGAGCATTGGTCACGGTCTGTTAATCGTAGGTTTCCGAAAACTAAACAAAATAAGACTACAAAACTATCTGCTGCGTCCAGAGTTAAACTGTTGATGGTGAGTAAATCTGGATTGTAATTTTTGCAATAAGTTGATGATTTGGTTTAATTAGATTTTGTTATGACGCGCGGTGTCCGAGACTGATGCTACCACAGAAACTTCACATTAGAAAGTTCTCAGTCAATGAGCAAACTGAAAGTGAAGGAAGAGATTTATTAGGCTAAATCGATTCACTCACATAAGCACATATTGCTTAAAAAACGAAACTATTTCTTGCCCAATAAAATGTACTTGTCATTAGGAAATTTTTGATTGATACAACTTAGCTTTCTCATTTGCTGACTGACCCACTGTATCAGCTTCATACTTTAGCGTATATGTGGTCCCCTGTGAATATTTGCTCCGTCCCTCTGTATGAGTCGTACTGGCTTCTATGAATTGACCGGAATTATTGGTGATACTGTTCAAAAGTGTTAGATATTTCTAAGCTTTGACAGAGGATTACTTTACTGACGTATGTATTCAATTATCAAAATCTAGCAATTTTTAACTAACATTCATCATCATTTTAACCAAGCGTTGAATATATACTGTTGTTGTTTATTTATTACCTATAGACTTCTCGTCCTGTAATTGTAACAAGTATCATGGCGATTCTCTCTGTTCTCGTTGGGTTTGTTGCATACATTTATCAACCTGCCATTATGAACATCAATATATAGAAATTATCTAATTATTTCTATCTTATTCCATCTTTACATTATTGAGGCGCGCTATACTATAACCAGAAGAAATGTAAAATCCATTAGTTATCATTTGTAAATAAATAATACCGAAACAAGTTGTATTTAACTTGAAGTTAGTTTAAATGAACACACCATTTCGCCTTACACGTCCATATTTGTTTCTTTTTTCTAAATTTTATTTAATGATGAATGGATAGTGTTCATTGTATCTTGCTGACTGACCAATTTTTAGAGTTCAACATTTTCTTTTCTAACTTTGATGGTAATATTAATAATTTTTTAGGTTAGAAGGGAACTTTATCTCATTTAATATTATTGCAAACTAAAATATACTTATATATACGTATAACATGTAATAGATTGTTTTAAAAATGGCATACTGATTCATTTGAAAGCTTTCCTAATAAACATTACTACAAATGTACATTATCATCATATTGTTATTACTTTATAGGGATCTTTATCATTTTGTCTATGTAACTTGTGTTTTTCTAACAAATCCTCGTAATTCTCTTGCTTTAGTTGTTATTTAATTTTTTAAAGTATTTAGTTTGTAATTAGTAGTTAGTTTTACTTTGTGAATTGAACATTTCTAAATGATGTTTTGTTAACTTCCAAGTTAGTTTTATGGTATTTCATACGCAGCAATATCATTCAACTCAACAATCAAGTAAATATTCTTATACTAGATCATAAAAATTGTATAAGGAGTGGAGATATAATTTGATTGTCTTAGCTGTCAATTAAGTGAAGTGTTATTTATACTGGAGATACTAAAGTTAGAAGTCACTGAACGGTGACTGGACAGCTGGTTAATTTATTGATTGTTGTTCTTCGTGTTTGAAGGTAATGATACCATTCAGGGCAGTAGCGTATAAGAAGAATTAAGTATGCTTCTTTTTCTGTAAATATTTTGATCCCCTTTGCTTCCATAGTCTTGCGTTTTAGTTAAGTTGTCGATCACTTGGATCAGCTAATACTATTGAAAATAAATAAGGATTTAATCCTGAGTAAACCTGACAAAGGAGCTGGTGTAGTACTACTTGACCGCCAAGAATATTTGGATAAAATGAAGTTAATTCTAGAGAATGGTACTAAATTCTCCAAACCTAAAGGAGAAGTTGATAAAACATTGCAAATCGAAAAACAGGTAACAGATGTTAAAAATCTTAAGAATAAGGGGATGATAACCCAAGATTTATATAATCACATACGTCCCATGGGTTCAATCATCCCGCGCTTATATGGACTACCGAAAATACATAAGATGGGTTCACCGTTACGACCTATTTTGGACATGTCAAGTTCACCATACCACAGAATCGCCAAATGGTTAGCGGAAAATCTGGAACCGGTTAGAAGGCAAGTATGTAAATATTCTATTCATGATACTTTTCAATTTATTGATCGTATTAAGGACGTAAATACTTCCAAAAAACACATGTTCTCACTCGACGTTAATTCTTTGTTCACTAGCGTACCTTTAACCGAAACGATATGTTATATATGCGAGCATATTGATTCTAACAACATAGATCTAGGTTTGCCGACTGAACACTTGAAAGAACTATTGTTACGCTGTACTTTTAATGTCCAGTTCAGTTTCAATAATGAAATATATAGACAAAGGGATGGGATCGCAATGGAGTCTCCATTGGGTCCAATTTGAGCAGACTGCTTCATGGCAAAAGTGGAAAACGACCAACTCCGTTCAATGATCAATCGATTCCACCTATACGTGAGATACATGGACGACACGTTTGTCGTTTGTGACAGTAATATTGATTTAGATGATATTCTACACACCTTTAACTTATGCCACCCTTCCATAGACTTCACGTTAGAAAGGGAACGAGACCAATCAATTCCTTTACTCGATGTACGTCTGATGAGAAAGAGTAATGGTTCTTTAAAAAGATCCATCTTTAGAAAACAAACATAGAATGGCCAGCTGACCAACTTCTATAGCTGGGTTCCGTTAAGTAGGAAGAGAAACCTTATCCATTCTTTATGCTATCGAATACATCAGATATGCAGTACGGAATGCATTAACGAAGAACTCGCATTCCTCAAGAAAACATTGACGGAATATGGTTACCCAGGACGGCTCATAGAAAAGAATACGAACAAAAGTAGTTACGACAAGAAATCTAGTTGTTCCGTTCCGAAGAAAAACCTTTATATAAGTCGGGAATTTAAAGGTGATCGAACATCAGACGTAATCAAAAATCGTCTAACAACAACTATTAGAAGGACATTCAACGCGGCTAAACTGCGAATAACCTTCACTAGTAGGAACTTATTTTCTGTATCCATAAAAGATAAGCTTCCGCGTCTGGTCGCCTCCATGTGCATCTACCAGTTCACCCGCTCTTGTGGAGCAAGGTACATTGGCCGTAGCCAGCTCTCGCTTTCAACTCGGATACGGGAACATATCCCAGCTTGGTTCTACAAAGGTGAAAGGAAAGCAGTTAGGAGTTCTATACTTGAACACCTAATCGACTATAACCATTCTACAGATCCACAAATTGACTTTAAGGTTGTTTATATGATTCGTTCAAATCTACCCAGATTTCTTCGTATCCAACTTTTCAAAATAGCTGAAGCTCTTACCATCCAGGAGCTTAAACCAGAACTATGCGTACAAAAGAAGTACGTCTTATCGTTACCTTGGCCTCAATAATTTTGATTACCCTATTATTATTATTATTACTGCAGTCCTCCTTTACTTATGTCTTATATTCTCATTATTTTATTCGTAAATGCTCATCATATCACCTTCTTTATTTCTACACCTCTATGACCTTTATTATAACAAAAACATTTTAATCATTTTATTAAATTCACCAAATCTATTGTTATTATTCATATTACGTAATCTAGTATTATAACCTTTTTTATTACGTCATGGTTAACTGTGTTCACATTTCCTCACGGAATTAGTACTTTTACAAAAACAAAAAAATTTCATATTTATACGATTGTACAGCTTGATAATAAATTCGTTGAAAAAAGATCCCTTCGCTGAACTTCGTGTTTTAATTTTAATGTTTAAATGGGAATTATCTGTCGATTTTTTTCGTGCTTCAGAAACCTGTTACAACGTAAATGTATGCACTCGATTTAATCGATGAGGACTTTTTTAAGAGCGCCATTTTTCGTTCGTAATGATTTTGAGGTAAATTAATCTGAAAGTTAACATGTGTTCTGACCTTCTTTTACTTGTGTATAAGTTGGCTCTATCCAAAAATAAACTCCAATTTCCCTGACTTTCTGTTTATAAAAACCTACCCTGGTTACAATTATTCCTGTTAAGGCTGTTTACAGTTTCGTACATACACCAATTGACAAAATGATAGTTCATTAGGTGAGAAGACGTTACAGGGATCAGGAAATCATGAAGACACATTGCATGATGTGGCTGTTTCAGCTTCGGTGTTTTAATTTAATCGTAGTTTTGTAGTATTGCTCACGACTCCGTTTGTCGACTTATAAGCGTGAGTTTGGTAGATTTAAAACAGCTACCATAACAACGGAAACGGTAGTTTAATAGATCAACCGCTCAACTTTTAGTCCCGTTTTGCCTACTTCAGTACGAGCAACCGAGTAGTATCAGAGTCTCACAAACCGATTATGTAAACTTGTACCTTGTAAGTAATATTTATTACCAAGCAGCGCAGATATTCTGAGGAACAGACCCAGTAGCGAAAATCCAGTTTAAAAGTATAGTTGTCTGTAATTTGGTCTACATATTGAGAGTTACGCCCCCTCACTGCCGTAAAAGGGGTTCATAAAACCTCTACAATAACGAATCTCCCTTGTCTTACATATCTCTAACATGGACTGTACGTTGTCAAAGTACGAATCCGAAATTGGGAATAAGTACAAAAGGCATTGTTTCATGCAAGTTACTAACGGGCTCCGGATCACGCTTTAAGGTGAATTGAACTACCAACATACCATATTCTTGATTTCCTCAAGAATAAACATCCTATGTCATAATGATTTAACGACAAAACATGTATTTAAAATAGTATTTTATACAACGTAAGGCATATATGTGTATCAAAAATGAGTACAGATAGAAGGAATTATTCAATATAATTTGTTTGAATTGTTCAACAGTTGGGCTTCTCGTTCATGAATTTGCTCCATAACCAATCTAAATAATAATGGCAAATGTATAAATAACTTTTGACTAGCATTCTACGCATTATGTTGGACCAACTAGAGAAAAAACGGATTTTAAGTAATTGTTTTTACTATATATACAAAATCTCTTGGTTGATATTACAAATGGGATAGATTTAACCTACAATTAAACTATTGTCATGAGTAACGAATAGATATGAAATTACCATTGAGAAAAACTTGGTGATTTTCCCTAACCGGTGAATCAATGGAGTCGGTTTTCGATAATGTAATAAGAAGACGAAGATTATCAGAACGACGTGATATATTAGCGCAATACATTTCGAACAATCTGATCACCCATATACTTGTTAAGAACATTTATATATAAAAATAAAAGGTCAACTAGACTGGAAATGGGGTAAGAGGAGACAAGGATAATAATAATGTGAACAGAATTTGAAACCTAATCACTCTGCATAATAAGCCAATATTATATGTGTGATCAGATTGTTCGAAATGGATTGCGCTAATACATCACAGTTCCGATAATCTTCGTCTTCTTATTACGTTATCGAAATTAGAAGTCATTTTCAATACATATCAGCATAGTGTAACCAAAGTTCAGTTAAAATCAGAAAGATTAGATCTGTTGTTGCAAATATATTTCATATACAAAAGGCTCTGAAATGTCTTAAGAGAAGGTAGCGAAGAACCGTATAATCAAGACTAAGAAGTTATGTTTTTAAGTAATTGAACAAAAGTAACTGATTAAGCTCAGATAATAATAAAGTTAAGAACTATAAGAAAGTCAAGAAGCGATGCGACTTATTGCGTAATTAAATTAGTGTCTTGCTTCCAGAAATCAGGATAAATAGATAATTGTCTCTTTTGGACGTAAAGCAGATTGAACAGCTTGCTAGCTTCAGCAAATTTGATAACTAACAGGTTAATTTTTTATCAATTATCTGGAAGTTGTTCATAGTGTTCATCAAACGTACTGTGCCCAAGATATTCCTAGAAATACGACCACCGAAAATTGTTAGTTCTTGTGAGCCGAAATTTTTCGAAAGTCTAGGGATCCAAGGTAGACCCTTCGTTTTACTAAACCAATGTAACTGATCCGAGGGATATAGATAAATCCATCCACATAACTAATATTTACATGAAATGACCACAGTAGACTGTGAATTCGATACCGAAGACGTTCTATACATAACTATCAGTTTGGTTGCAGGGTACGTTTTTGGCTAGTAAAGTCAGGGACAGTTATTCAGTCAGTCACGAGTAACATAGAACGTGACACATGTGCGTCGACCGGAGTTGCCACACTATCGGCGCAGCAAAATGGCATTGTCATCTAATTCAAGGTGATTAAAGTTCCGTTAAACTTGTTTTTAATTTTTCTTTTTATCAATAAAGTTTTGTGCATAGTAGTTGGACATCTCTCAACGTCCCTCAGTTCAGAAGAAACGAATACGTACCCTTTCTTCTCTGCAAAATGGTTCTTAGATCAATTTTTCACTCTAAACAACTGTAAAAAACTAATAAACTTCAGGTGTTTCATGTCATAGCATATCTCTCACTTGGTCGTTTCTTTGCAAAGCAAGAGCGATTCTTCAAAGACATGTAGTCCGCACATAACTTCCACGTCTCCCGTCCGCATTGCACGATTTTACGCATTATACTGTTTATTTAACGGGCAGACAGATATCTCACCACTAATACAGGTGACGTAGGTTCGCAAATGTCGCATGAGTCTTCTAACCCTCTTCTGCGATATTGTCTTCGACTGATTCATAAGGATTGGTGCAACTCTTACACTAGGTAGTCTATACTTCACTCCCTATTCTTAGACAATAGTTCCTACAATTTTTTATTCTTGCCATTGAGAAGACTTCTGATAGTGTCAGTGTCTTTGGCAGGACAGGAAAAATACTTACCTCATCTTCAAAATACAATTAGTTCGACGTCTTCGTAGATCGTGCAAAATTTCATCCTCAGGGAACCTTTCATCAGGTTCTTCCACATTATTCAAGTTTTCCTCCATATAGCGCGCAATTGTCAAACCTATTTGAACCTCCTTATCGAAAGTAGATTTACTGGATGTAAATTCAGTAGACGTAGGACCAGGTAGGTGAGTAAAGGTTTGATTTGATATTTTTTCAGACGAGTGGGCTTATTATATGACAAGAAAATTTGTGGACATTAGATTAAGAAAAACATTAATATAGAAAGTTTCAAAAACAAAGGCCACAGCGTTAATCGTGTCAAGTGATAAATACAACTCAATAACCACCGGCTGAAATAATAGATTTCGAGCCTTTATTTGAAAACTAGTGCAATGGCACTGGGCTACCTAAACAAAAGTAGATTGACAGAATTCTAGTCTGAAAGAAGGTAATTGGAATTAAAGTTGTTTGACAGCTGATCTTCCGCGACAAGAGAGATACAAAATTTAAGCGGTTAAAAGTGACCATCGCAAAGCTCTGTATCTACTTGATATTGAGTCACCTGGGTCCGAATATGATGTTAGTTTCTCTAAGGAATGCGGACACACCTTGCTGTTAAATCTCAGCCAGCACAAAACATAGATCCAATGCTTTCCGGTCACTACCAGTTATTAACACACAAAAAACTGCACTATTAAGTTAGTCTAGTGTTCTATATTGCAACTTAATGGATAAATTTTGATCAGTATTAAGTAATAAATGTGTCACTAGTCACTTCTTATTGTCCAGTTAGTATAAGAGTGCATATAATAAGAATTCTTTCAAAATAATAGCAACCTGAAATATCATAACGTAGAACATTTATTGTCCTAGAAAACCATATGAAACGTCTAAATCATGAAATGTTTTAAAAAGAGAAAAAATTACATGTATGGTGTTGTTGATAATCCATTGCGTGTCCAATATGACTATCACAAGTACTAGTTATTAAGTAATTTGAATTCTTATCATTTTTTATTGATGGAGGAGTTGCAGGCCATATCCAACTGTCAGATTCAATTGATTGAGCGCTTTCAGAGATATCAACTGGTAAAAATTGAGGGATGCGAGGATTATAATCCACTAGTGTATTGTTATCAGCAATGGTAGTATCATTGGTCATAGTCATAGTTGTTGTCTGTTGGTGCTGTTGATGAAATATTTTATCCACAGATATGCACAAGTTTTTATTCATGGGACGCTACAAAGTAACGAATAACAGTTTTCATCATTTGAATGCTTGTGATTAAATTATTTACCACTTTCGTTGTTTATATCAGGGACTGATCTTAGTTAGACTAACATTGAAAACCATGAAGCGCTGAACAGCATTTTTATTTTAGCATGGGACACCTCAATAGTGCGCATGTACGAGCCCTTTGGGAGTTTAACTCAGGATTTTCGCTTAGCGCGCGAACGCTTAACCACTAAACCAATAATCGCTTGTAAATAGATGAACATATACGTGTCATGGTATATTTATGCGCATTAATATCTAAGCCACAGATAATATTACTATGGCATTTATATCTAAATGCGTGAAATAGAACTATGCCTATGGTTCAACGAATAATAATTGGGAAGTTTGAATTAGTGAAATACAGTTCCACTTAAAGTGACAAGACGAACAAGGAAATTGAGGTATGAAGATAATATAGGGACTAAATATAGTATATTAAAAGAAGCCATACTCTAAGTGTGAGGGTTAATTATACTACCTGGCTACCCAAACCGAATTACGTGGAGTGGAGCTTCAACCTGGGGCTGGGCAGCTAAAAGTCGAATTCCTTAGCCACTAAGACACCGCTCCGATAACTGGTAGCAACGGAAAGCAAATAATAATCATATCGGTTCAACAAGTTGGATAATGCACTGGTTTTTGAATCAAGAGGGACTGGATTCAAGTGTCAGTATGGACATTGACACGGGAGTGCAAGTGTATACAGCTACAGAAAAATATATAATCATTATGAAGACAAGTATGACAAACACTTGGTTAACTCTTGCTCAGTATGTGTTTGAAAGGAAGCGCATTTTTTATCCTCATTATTGGAATGAACGTTTGGAATTAAATGGTCCAAACATATTTCGGAAAAGCTTGTTTTACCAAATACCGATTTGTCTATTTTCACAACAAACAATAAAAATCTCTGGAAATATTGCGGCAGATGAACTAATAATTGATTGTTTGGAACGAACTTTCTGATTGCAACAGAATACATCTCAAATGTCAGAACGATGGCTTCATTGACAATATATTAGATAATTAAAGCCCATTTTGAAAAGAGCAAGAATAAAGATTCTAGCAGAATAGCATGAATTTATTATATTTCGTTGGTTTTCGTCAGCTGCTTACAACCTGTGATAATTAGAAATCATAATTACAAAATGGGTTTAAATTACTCACATGAAAGAGTTTAGTCGACAGTTATGTTGAAGACATATTAGTATAGCAAGGGTGTAAATAAATTCACTAGACTGAATACTGTAAATATATACCTTATGTAAAAGAAAATCCTACAACATTGATTGTGACAGCAGTTCAAACGGCCAGAAACAAGTGATTACATAATGAGCAAACGCTGACAGGAATAAAGCTCAGTTAATAAAATAAGATCACTAATCTGGAAGATAGTTGAAATAAAAACTCAATGACGTAATAAATGCACAGTAATGAATAGTAATTTGAAACTTTGGTCAACTCATTGAGTAAATAAATTTACCAAACGGTTAAACTGAGAATTTAAAACTGACTAAATTAACTTCAACACTCCTGATATCACTCACATTGTTTGAACTATTTTTTATATTAGATGGTATCATATTCACTGGTGTTTGAAGTTTAACATTTCTTGATTGTGGTCGAACCATAACACGAATAGATTTGTGTTTTGCTTTTAAACCTATTTCAGAAATAATCCCATCTGTCGTTGTCCCAACATCATGTATATTCGATCTTTAATAATAATTAAAACGGATATTGTTAACCATGGAGAAATAAAAGGAATAATACTTATGAGTAGTTATATTTGTAGTGATAAAATGAACAAGTAGGTTGAGATCGCAGATAACTCAAGTTAAAAATGAAAATCACCACAATCTAACAGCAATATGGTTACCAAAAGACATAAAGTTTACAGTTTGATATCAGCTAGCGAGGTATTCACTGTAGAGGGTTCTGGAAATAAAATGAAGCATCTTTCATATACTTCTGCAGTTAAAGGTCACACAATTTCTCATCCTTAAACAATGCACACATACATACACACAAATTTACATACAAGTCATTTATGAATCACCTTGACCGAAATGACATGACATTAACTTGTTCAGGCCTGTTTTTGATTGACCACATAATATTCTTATTGTTCCGTTGTACTATTTAAACTTGGATTAATTTTAATTTGGTTATTTATTCTCTGAAGAAGTGACTTACACTAAGTCACGTTTGGAAAATGTAAACCAACAGAATGTTCAACTACTACATAATATGTACTTATTCATATCAATACCGTTACTAAGTAATACGATTCTGTGATATGATGGTCGATAATAAGCTCTGAGATCTAGGAATTAACACCGATAACGTAAATTGATAAAATGTTGATACATGAAAAGTCTATAGAGGCACAAAATCTCAATTAATCAACCTTCGATCGAGATGAGTCATAGATTTACACAACAAGAATAGGTTCAAATTAACATAACATTTTGTAACGTTATTATATGTGAAAATTATATTTCAATCGCTGAGAATATTTTAAATATAATTTTCACATATAATGGTTTCTCTATACTTGGCGCTCAATTACTGTCAAACTATTCGTTCTAATATTGACGAATATTCGTATAAATTTTGTAACGTTATTTGGATGATTAAAGTTTTCACAGGTTGAAATCATGAGTCAGTTGAAGCTAGACCACCATTGAAAACCTGGAAGCACTGGACGGCCGTTTCGTCCCAGTATGGGACTCCTCAGCAGTGCGCACCCACGAACCCGCCCCCCCCCGCGGGATTCGAACCCAGGACCTACTGGCTTCGCGCGCGAGTACTTAACCACTAGACCGCTGAGCTGGCATCCAACGGTGTTAATGTCTAACTTCAATCAATCCACGAAGTTGCGCCACTGAACACCATTGTCTTCAGTGAGCTGGTATCTCACAACAGACCTGGTTGAACTCCACTGGTGACGGTCAGTGGTCTAATGGTTAAGTGCTCGCGCGCGAAGCCAGTAGGTCCTGGGTTCAAATCCCGCGGGGGCGGGTTTGTGGGTGCGCACTGCTGAGGAGTCCCATACTAGGACGAAACGGCCGTCCAGTGCTTCCAGGTTTTCAATGGTGGTCTAGCTTCAACTGACTCATGATTTCAACCTGTGAAATTTCCTAAAAATCTCCACAAAACTCATTCTGATTACAGTTTTGATGAAAATCATCTCTAGAATGAACATAAATAATTAATAAATATTATAGCTACTAGCTTCGACCTCCATGAACATGAGCGTAGACAGAATGAATTAGGCCAATAAAGACAAAAAATGTAAGCTAGTTTAACATTTTTAATAAATTTACCATCTGACCACACCAATTCTTCAGCTTAACTACCGTAGGGGAACAAATATTTAATGCTAGATATTTCAATGTCAAACAGTAGATCAATGCAGCTGAACAGTTAGGAACTAGTCGAATTTGAAGTGAAGTCCAATTAACTATCGTATACGAGATATACAGCAGAGTGAACGACACTTTACTTGGTACCGATAATTCTTAGAATGTATTTCTTTTACATAAATTATTCTTAGACAACCTTAAGCTACATTATTTACATTGTAAAGTAATGAGATATATTGATAAACAACAACAACTTACTCATTAAATAAATTGATTGATTTTAAACAGTTGAATGAAGCATTAAGAACACTTTGATTTGTTTGAATTTGTGAATCATTAGTTGACGAGTTTTTCAAAATATCACATTGAACACTTGTATCTTTAATGTGAATTTTAGTTGGAAAAGTTTTGTTTGATTCAAATGTTGATTGAAATAATGGTGGTAGATTATAAGACGTTTTATTCTAAGAAAAATATGAAGTCACTGATTAAAAATCTCCTTCTACAGTAAATATATGATACTTAGTAGAGATAATATAGCAAAGAATATAAAGGTTTATGTTAAATCATTTACCAAATACGAATTTATACACTCCACATCGATCTATACTGTTTGAGTCAAGGCCAATGATTTTGTTTGTTACCTGAAACAAATTAAATAAAGGGAGTCTGGGAAGTGCGATTGCCCTAATCATCAGGTTATCGCGTATTGGGTAATACATATGTGGCTTATATTGACATACTCTGCATTATGTAACACTTTGGAGAAAACCAATTAAAAACACCAAGAGTTAAATGAACACTAGTAAATAGGAGAAAACTGAATTTGGTGTAATATACTGTTATCCTATAAAAAGTGTTTACTTCTTAAGACTATACATTACATAATGCATGGTACTCTCTGACTTTCAGTGCTTTTATTGTTGAAATCAAGCACTGTTTACTACAAAATTGAATCTGCCTATGCCATAATTATTATGTTTCAGTCATTAGTGATAATTAAGTAAAAAGTACGTACGAAGTTCTACGTTGTTACTGACTGACTGACTGACTGAAATCTCAGTGATTATGTTGGACGTTTGAAATTCTGCTCCCTATGTACTTCGGTTTCAACAGCTAAGTAGAATTATGAAACCTCGACTAACACCAACACACGAAGAAATATTTGATAAATAAATTACAAGCAAGTGTAAAAATCCTTATTAACATTACAATTAGGTCACAATAGAAACGTGATTACCTTCAGGTATTATATCTCACAACTTATTCACTAGTCAAAATTTAATAACATGTTACATCTGTATCAAGTTATAAGATGATTATGACTGAAAGTAGATAACTTGGGAAATTTAAGAAGCATGTTTTGTAGCCTATTTGTTGACCTCCTGGAGTATGAATTAGTGTATACTACAGTCTTGGAGCCTAATATAACTATACCAATACTTAATAGATAAGTATTGTACAAAGAGAAACCGAAGATATCATAGTATTATTTACTTATTATAAATTACACTTTTTTTCATCATAAACATCTATGATTCAAGACGTATTTTCTTTGTCAGTAAAAAAAGACTTACTTCCAAACTTATATTACCAGGGTAAAAGTAACCATTATCTTCGTAAATTGTATCATGAATCTTAATAGATTCATCATATGCAAACATTTTACTGCATTCAAAACTATTTAACAATCCATTCATACTGAATTGATAATATGACTCCTCTACTAATGTCATATAAACATTACAAGGTTGTATAACACTTTCCATTAAACACAATGAATGATTACTATTATTATCATTAATGTTTTCATTTAAGAAGAATAATTTATCCATACTAGATGAGAACATTGATTCTATAAATGATGATGATAATGATGGTGTTACAGTAACTGGGAATCTAATCGACTTATCATATTCAATTAATGAATTATACTTATAATCTTTGGTTTTATTCTGTAAATATTTTTTCAATTTTAAAGTATATTTATCATCAATATGAATTTTCATAATTAATGGTAGATTATGTTCATTGAAAGAGGATAAATGAAGCGTTTTAGTTTCCATTAAAGAATGAACAATATAGACAAAGAATATTAATAATGTTGACAACGACTACACAATTCGTAAATTAAACCTGTGAAATTCAGTACTATTATATAATCATCTATTATCGATACAGTAAAGGCTTTCTTTCTTATAATTGGTTAATTATTTTCATTTTTCAAAATGAAAATTATTCGCTACTTACTTGTCATTTACCAGGTACAGATTTGTGCACTTATGTTCAAGCTCTATCCTAAGTATGAGAGGTAGTGGACTCTACCTGTCTACTCAAACAGAAGTAGATAAAACAGGAATTGGACCTGCATTCCAGTGGTTGAACACCGTAACCGCTGAGCTACTGCTCCAATAATAACATATGATAAGATAGCCAATACATAGTGAGAGACAAAGCTGCGTATACCGTTACAAGTCACAGTGCTTACATTTTATACAGTTTATATCAAAGGCAGAATAAATTTCAAAAACCTAGAATATTCGTTGGTGAGTTATGTAGATTTGTGTTTGTTATAATCATACGACAATCATGTAAGATTTAATTACCGAAAGTCAACAGGTTGAAGTGTTCATCCGAAATGAGATTTAAAAGAACATTAGTCTAAATGTGAGCGAATATTTCGACAGAAATGTGGTGTAAAATAGATAAAGGATACTAAGGATGAAAAAGAAATATTTGCAATAATCTGTAAATATTAAATTGGTTACTTAACTTATTGTAAATCGTGTATTTCTCACCTGATTAGGAAATTGTGGATATTGAGGTATAGTTATACTTGAAAATGATGTCGCTAATTGTGTAAAGTCATTAGATCGAGGGTAAGATTCTTTGGAAATTTCCATTCTTGCTTGTTCCATACGACGACGTAAACGCCATTGTGCTAAAATATCATCTTCTGGATTTGATATATGAGAATAAACTATAAAAAAGTTATTGAAAGAATAATGTTGATGTAAAGCAAAGTTTAAGGACCTGCTTCTGGTTTCTGATTATGGTTGAATTTAGCAGAATTAACAGATAAACTATTAAAATTTTTATTGGGTTCTAATATTTGGTCAATCCACCTATAAAACAAAACCAACAAAACAAACAAGGTGGCAGTTAGTTATTTGGTAATACAAACAATTGAAAGTCATAGGAGGAATCGGTTCCAGAACGATGTGGTGTTTGTACAGAGCCGGATTAGAAGTAATAAGTGATAAGATAAGGTTTGCTTTTTATTGAATGTTCTTGCTCAGTTGATTCATTTTCAAGTACTCAAAGAAAAAGTTATTTTAAATTCAACCTTAGTGTTGCTCATCAAATAATGCCATAACATGTGAATCATACTTTCGATACAGGAGTTTTCACATTGATCCAGTTATTTGTTTATTAAAGAGGAAGATTACCATACAACTGACTAACTTTAAAAGGCTATATCCATTTTTCACCAGAAATTCAATTGACGACAGACTAATATCAGTTGGGGAATCATCAAAGATTGATCACTGAGTAGTAATCAATGTTATGTCTGTCTAGTATTTAGTGTTGATCGAGTTCTGACGTGACCACTAGACCGTGACTCGTCATAGCATGTACCATATTTCGATGTTACGTGCTTGAAGGTAATCATCACGAAATTCTGCAGTCTTCAAGGGGCTGGTGAATTCGAACTCGAGTAACCCAGTTTTCCAGTCAGTAAGTTACCACTGAACTTGGCTAGGCGCAAAAGTGTTTCTTCCCAATTATCTCCAACCACCTAACATCAGAACCACCATACATTGATCCATACTCTTCAACAAATTCCCGTATGATGTAAGTATATGGTAAAAATGGAATTCGAATATGACTAGCAGAACGAATGCACAATGACCTACAAATTATGACTGGCTTTGAGATGCACTTTCTAATTTCTTGATGAAATTCCGTGACTGAGGAATGGCTTCAACCAATTCAGGAGTGAAACAGTTATTTACCAATATCATTGGATAATTATTGTACTGTATCGTAAACGGGTCTCAGTTGGGATTTTAAAATATTGGATTCGCCTTATCCCCAAAATGGTAGTAATCTACAGATCATAAATTTATGAAAGATTCATTCAGCATACACTGTAATTATGCCACCATTTTATGATCTTTGAAATTACAGCTTATGTATTTAATATTTAATTGAATGAATCGGAGAAGCTTGAGTATTCTGGTAATAGTTTTCATTATGTAGAAACATCGAAGACCAAAGAACACTGGGCAACTATTTCGTTCTACATTATGGACTGATGTAATATAACGTAACTCGTCTACGAAGTATATGTTTATATGATCGTTTTCGAACTACATTGTTTTCATGAGAGAGAGAGAGAGGGAGTAATACTACCATGCTATTGAAGCCGAAGGTGGGGCAGAGTTCGAACCTAAAACCTAAAGATTGGAACTTTAGTTCTTTAAACACTAAGCTATTATCTCACAATTTTGGACTATTTAAAGATATGCAGCGATGTGCACGTACGAGATCTGAATTAGGTCATTCATAGCTCGTAGTGATCGGGAGGCATATAGATCACCAAATAGGAATCCAATGGACAACATTTTTCAACTTCATTGGGTTATCTAACTGTTGACTGTTTTGAGAAGTCTATCAGCTGATATTAAACCACGATAAAACTTGTTCATACTTAGTCATACTTTTAATCGAAGTTTGTCAACTATGGAACAAAATCTAGCGAGTCGGTTAAATGATTAATTACCGTGGTGCATATTATTTCATGTTTTCATATCTAAAGACAATTCTTCTATAGGGGGAAGTGACGGTGAAAAAACATAAAGCAATCCAATAATGTAAGACGTTGTTACGTCGAGCCACTTAACTAACGAATAACAATAGAAACTTAAAACTGTTGTATGATATTAGTCATGCTCTCCGTTGTATACAGATACTTTTTTTAGCAAGATATTTTAGTTGTCATTGTATTATTTAATACAGGTGGAAAACTCGAAGAGAAGCACAATTACATTTTATGCATCATGCATATTAGTTAATTAAATAATTGCAAATTATACAGTAATGAAATGAATGAATAATTAGAAAAATGTTCACCACATGCTGAGCTATAAAAGTGTCATTTTATCACAAATATAGATGGTTATCGGCATCTTTATGAATACCCCCCATAGTTTACTTGACCCATTCTGTCAATTATTGAATAATTAAAATTTTAATATCTGGATTATTATTGCTATTATTGTCATTGGATTATTTTATTGATGATCAACAACAAAAAAAACCCTGATTATATGAACTAACTTTTAGAAATGATTCTATAACAAACAAAGAATCATGAACAAATTGTTATCATATTCACATCAAAAGTGACATTTTCACATCTTAAACAGCAATGCTAACCGGTGTTGGGGATGGCTGGAAGAGGGGAGGCCAAACCAAAACATGGCATCAGTTCTTGAAGTCACTAACTTCTGGTCTGAGCCATGTTAGTAGATGCAGACTACTTGGTTGGGGTCCGAGTGACATGGCTCAGAATCGATCACAATGGCGTCGGTGTATACACTCTCTGTCTACCCTTAAACTATAAGATTAAAATCGCTTTACATCTTTCTACGTAATAATTCCTTCTTTTTGTACCATATCCTTATATGCAATCTTTCTTTTATATATTACCACCAATGAATTAACTACTTCTATGAATCCGGTGTTCATCTTGTTGTGCTAATGCGGTTTAGCAGCTTGGACCGATGCATGTATGTGCCTGGTCCTACGTTGTAGCTGACTGACTGACTATCCTCATAACGATAAATAGAACTTATAGGTCTTATGGGAAATATGTTTAGTCATTGAATTAGAATTTGCTAAATAGTTTGTCCAGTTTCAACTGTTACACCATCATAACATCAATAGTGACTAGAGGCTAAAACGTGAAAATTTATCATTTCTGTAGATTTAGCAGCTGATTGTTTTCAGTGTATTATTTTTAGTAACATCTAACATTTTTCAGGAAATTCAAGTTCATATTAAGCAATTTATTAACAATACTCATCAGAATCATATTTATCGTTGATCCGTTTAATAATATTAAAACTAAGTAGCCAAAAACCAGTTCATCTCTACTCGATTTCGAGTCAAACGTTCAGATTAAGAATTAGTGATAAAACCCACTCTCATTAGACGATGTAGGTGGAACGTAAATCGAACCTGCAAATAAATAGATACAAATCAAGTAACTTATCTACTAATTAAAACTTTTATTTTCTAAATTGTTGCTCTTAAGTTTGTTGTGACTTGCACTAGGAAGCTAACAAAGAATTCTGAGAAAAATTAGTTTTGATTCCACTAGCAGGTCATTCAATGGTTAATCAACAAGAGAGAATCTAAAATGCAAACGAATGAAGAAAAAAAGGGAAAATATAATAAAAATGATTGAGAGGAATGATGAAATTGTCTAAAGAAGTTATGCTCACTACCCGACTTAAACGTTATGAGCTCGATTCCATGTAGAGTTGTGGGTACAAAATAATAAATCTTTAAGTGGTTGAAGAAATGTCATCTAAAAGTACTTTACATAACGTTTGCATCGTTAACCTTCATAAGTAAACTGTGTATGATACATAAAATAAATAACGCGACACGTAGAATTTGAAAGTATATCATTTAGCACTGAATTTATGGATTTAACTATGAAATAATCGTGTTAATGAATAACACTTTCATGATTGGACGAGGTAAACATATTGAAAGCCAAAAGATAATCAGTATATATATATATATATATATATATATATATATATATATATATATATATATATATATATATATATATATATATATAACAGAAATTGAACATCTTTACGTAAAAAATTACACGATCCTTTCAATTTACACCTTAAAACAACATGTAATACACACAAAAGAATTAATGACTGACTTACTGCGATATTTGATTTTTAGCAAGGTATCCTTTACTATCTTCCTTTTCTTCTTCCAACTCTTCACCGTCATCATCATTGTAAGTAAGTCTTTGGTTACCTATGTCGTACAGCTTTTGAACATCATAGTTGTCGTCATCATTGTCATCTTGACTAGTTACAGAAATAGAATCTTCACTATCTTGATGTTTAGAACATTTGATATTTACAGAGTCATTTTTAGATATTTTAATACCGCATTGATTTTGTGTAATTTGATTCAATTTAGACGTTAAATAGTTAGACTGTAGCATGTGGGAAGAAATAAACATAAATATATTAGTGAAAAATATTTTATCAACTTTGTTTCGCATTTCAGAACCGTAGGGATATTACAAAGATGGTGATATTGTGAACTTTTTCAAAACTAACCAATAGCCATCTTTTTAATGTTACCGAATGATTTAGAGATATGCGGTCTAACGAAGCACACAAAACTGAATTCTCTCTCTATTCTATTCTCCTGTAACTCGTAACGAGACGGATTTCCATCCATTTTTTACGAGAGGCTCTCAATCCCATAAACCATACAAAAGACATCAACATACGTAACGAATGTATGATTACACTTGAGATGACATTAATATTTACCAGCAACGTCCCTCCTAACTGAAACTATTTATTTTATGTCAAAATATATTAATAAGAGTATGGCATGATTCGTGAAACCGACTTCGTATCATAAGGAAGTATCCATGAGATGTACTTTTAATATACAGTTTGGATCTCATGAAATATTTAAGGATGAAATGACATCACAGCTATGGGACCCTACAAACCGTGGTTGTATACTTCATGAAATATTCGAAGTGATTGTGTGAGAAATACGATAATATTTTTGGTTCGTACCACTATAAATATATTACAACTGTGGAGTCAATAAAGAAAGTGAATGCAAATCTCCAGGGGTTATTCGGAAATTTATTTTGAACTTTTGTAGTTTCCAGGCTTTCTATAAGATTTAAAACAATGGATTGCGTACATTTTTCGATGATCGTACTGACGTATTCAATTAAAAACTCATGTTCTTTATTCGACAGACCATATAATATAAAGGATCTTCGTGAAATATTTTGTTTTAATTCTGAAGATGATCATCAACAATTTTTATTTGGAAAAACAGTATCCAGGTGATACGATAACAAACTCAATTCGAACAACTTCCAACTGTTGTCGCCCAACATTTAAAATGGACTAAACCTTCTCTTTCTTGACCACAAAATGGAAAAACCTGATAGAACTTTACAAGGATCCAGTTACAGAAAACCCATATGGAACAGTCAACTGACAAGTTTCTGCATTTGGGTATCAATAAGCAGAAAGAAGAATTCGATTGTTTTATTACCTCGCAAATCTACACTCCTTACGTATCAGAGGATTTGTATGCTCTCAGATAAACATAGATTGAAAGTGCGTTCCTCATAAGATTTGTTGATAAATACAAAAAACTGAAGTGACTCAGACAATCTCCGATTTCCGCCTCAAAGAAAGAACTCTATATATTTATTTACATCATAAACAGAACATTCTTTTCAGAGAACCTGAGGATATTCTCCAGTCAACATATATTTAGCAACAACTCAAAATATGAAATGTTGTATTTAATGTCTTTAATGTGAAACAAGGTATACTGATTGTTCGGTGAACACTGTCCACGAGTGTCAGAGGACATTACCTCACAAAGTTAAATAAAGGCAACAGTAGTTGTATTAGAAACGCAATTGTACAACATACTGTCACCACTAGCTGTCTAGTCAAGACAGGTTTGTCGTTTAAACTCCCCTACAAATAGAACTGAAACCTACTTAAACAGGTATTCTTCAGTCTCCAATGGCATTGTTGAAACTCTCACCATACACCTGGAAAATGCTGAAATAAGTACAGAAAGGAAACTTTTTCGACCTCATATCTTAACAAAGACTTAACCTTTCAAACCTTTTATCGTTTGAAATAATGTTTCTTTTCGTCATTAAAATATTTTTCTGCTTTAAAACTCCGAGAATCGCCTTCTAATAGCATGAATGAACTTCAACCCAAACGTACTTAATCACTGGACCTCTCAGATTAATTCCACTTTCGAAGTCTACCTCACCACACTAGCCAATTCAGTTTCGCAATTATTGGTCTGTATTAAATTTCTATGGTATCCTTAATGCACTTTCGCTCGACCCCTAATAAAAATTCTGCATATTTTTCGACTAGAAAATTCAAACTACTTCTTATTGCCTTTGAGTAGCATTATATATATGATGTCAAAATGAGTGCAGCTTCATGTTAAATGGGTATACGTTTGAATTTGGATTTCTTGAGACTATCAGCAAGAACCCATTTACTTCAGTTTTCTGATTATTGGAGTCAATCATCAGGACTTTTCAGGGACTTTGTGGTAATATTTGATCCTTCAGAATCTCAAAACGGCATCACTCGGTAACTCAACCAAAAATGTTGCAATATAGATTCGAAATATCAGCAAATTGGTGATTCTAATAAATGTAGCAAAAAGCAATCACAGTGACGAACAGTTGAATATAAGTAAATAAATAATTAATGAGTTCAAAATGGAGAAGTTTAATCACTATAAATCAAGGGAAATTTTCCTGATGCATCAAATAAGAAATTAGTACTAAGAGAATTAAGCGTGCTATTATGTTCGTAATTCATTATAAACCGTATATCAAAATGTACTTTACTTAGATTCAATATGTGACAGACGCGTCTGTAACTACTACAGGCACAAAATATGTTGTCAGTATACTTAATGTATGGTTCTGCTTCATTAATTAATGACCTCACTTTGTTTTGCTGTAAGATGACAATAAAAATATATACCAAGATGGGATACAAGGTCATAGAACAAATATATAACAACATATAATGAAACGTTCAAATACAGGTGACTTGTGTTAATATTACCTAACATATATAAAAGCTTAAAAAAACTCGAAATTTATAGATCCTAATACCTGGTGACGGCGACCACTGCAGTTTGAAGCTGATGACGGTGAGTGAGATAGACGAGGTCTGGGGGGTTTTCCTAGGACTCTGAAATGAAATTAGAAATTATGATTCGATGAGTAAAGTAAAAAAGGTTCATCAATTGTTAGTCCTAGAATTTATGATGATTCTAAAATTAATGTTCCATAAATCTTTGTACTTGCCGTTTAGAACAGTAGTTGAAGTGCCTTTTTATCTGCTAACACCATATACGAATAAATCTTAATAAAAACGCCTGCTTAAGTAACTACTGAATAACATGGATATTAGCGAGCTTACATAGTTGTTATAACTTGTGACCACCGGTTAGAGAGCAGTGACTTATCGATCAGATCAATGGCGTGTAAACCCGTATGAGCAGTCTAGAGTCCTGATTAGCCCTGCTTTCCGTCTAGCCTAGTCCAGCCAGTTAAGTCCAGGACACTGACCTCAGCCTCTGCAATATGAATCATTTATTTCAAACATACGGGGTTTATATACCAATCAAACAGACCACATCGTATCAATAAAATAGGAAACAACATTTGTACAAGATTTGGCCAAATGTGGCTGTGAACGTGGGAGGTAGTGATTAATAGACGGAATAATTCAAGAATGGAAAATCGTATGATAACAGTTCATAGGGTAAAATAAAGCTTATGATAAGAGAGGCATGAATATGAATAGTTTAGTTAATTAACAATTATATGATAAAAATATACGTATAGTTTTGGTCCACAAATGGATCCCAGAAATTACCACTCATTATTTTTATCGGGACATAACAATAGTGCACTAAGTCAACACCTTGTTGCATTGCCAAAAAGTATTTTCTAATTAGCAATATGTATTTGGTGATTACAAATTAGTTAAATGGTTAAAAAAGTGTAGATGAATGACATTCAACTCAACAATAATTAAAACATAACTAACTTAAGAAAACACTAATAATGCATTATTCTTTCCAAGGATGAGTAGAAGTTGGGAAGTGACAACCACCCTCATACTTTTAACGGCAGTCGAGCTCATCTTGCCTACAATCTAGCTAATTCCTCACTTTTAAATATTTCTCCTACTTCTACTACCAATCCACTTCTTCCATTTTCGATCTTGATATGGACAGCCAATCAGAAGTAGCTTGATAGAAAGGTCAGTTAATAGCAACCAGAAGTCATATAAAAGTAAAGTGCAGTCCATTGAGTCAATTTCCTAAGGATACAGTGGTATATATGTGAATGAATACTTGTGCATTACATCTAGTAGCCCAATACACTTTCTCGCCCAAGTAGTTAGTTGGGGGGTTAGCGCGTAGAACACCGTGTATCACTATCAGATTTCGGACATCGCACGCCACAAGAGACTTTTCCCCAACATGCCACCAGCCCTGCCAATTCGAGTTCATGAAATGTAAACTCAAGCTTCTTAAAACCGCTCTTTAAGATATGTTAGGGTTATTTTTGTAGTGAGCCGGCTGATCTGACTCCTTTTTGAGTGAACGTATGAATATACTATGAATATAAATCTTCCATTTAACTTCGTACATTACCTAGGCTAACCCTATTTGCGTAACGGCGATAACAACAAGCCAAATACAGGGTGGCGTTGAAAGAATTTATTTCAAGCATTCATTTATCCAAACAGAGATTCAGAATACGAAGCGGATGGGAGAAGGCAAGTGAGCTAACTCGATTTAATCAGGAGTGACTCAATATTTATAATCAGATCAAAAATATAATATGGAATAAAGCTAATAATAATAATAATAATAATAATAATAATAATAATAATAATAATAATAATAATAATAATAATAATAAAGGGACCTGACCATCCTGATGGGGGATCAAAACACCAAGGTTGTAATGGACACCAGGTATCAAGATATTATGGGACAACATAGACTACGAGAAAAGAATGAGAATGATGAGGAATTCCCAACTTTATGTGCGATCAACAAAATGAAGTGAAAAACGTGCGAACAAAGAGGAGCTGACATAACTTCAGATCACCACCTAATGGCTACGGAGATGAAACGTAAACCAACAACCCACCAAACAACTGGACAAACAGCATTGCAAATGTCTGGTACAGTCTTCCTTCGACATACCGATAAACTCAACGAATTCAAGATAGCTCTCAACAACTTCAAAGCGTTACAAGATCTGCTCAAAGAAAATGAAACTACTATGGTGGGATGAAAGAAGTACTAACTCTAACGCTTCAGTGAGTCATCAGCCGCAATAAGCATCATCATAAGGAATGGATGTCGTTCGAAACTCCGTTCGGGATTCAAGAAAGGGAGAACAAGGAGACAGCAATTAACAACATTCGAACAACAATAGGGAAAGCCAAGTCATAAGCTGATCACACAGAAAAAAACAAGAGAGTGAAGAAGAGCACTAGAGCCGACAAGAAGAAATACGTCGATCTAGCAATGACAACGTAATAGGCTGCAAGCTAATGAAATATGAAACAACTATATGATACAACGAAGAAACTGGTAAGCAAATATAGTAAACCAGAGTGACTAGTCAAGCACAAGGAGGGCAAGCCAATCACTCAGATTCAGGAACAGTGGAACAGATAGGTAGAACACTTTGAGGAAATCCTGAATAGGTCAGCTCCATTGAATCCACCGGACATCGAAACAGCACACACAGACCTTCTTATAGATGTTGCTCTACCAAAAATCGAAGAAATCAGCATGGCCATCGGAAAAATCAAGAGTGGGAAAGCAGCAGGGTCAGACAACATACCAGCTGAAGCATGGAACACAATGTACAGCTTGGATGCAACTAAACGATCTAAACTTCGCAGATGACCAAGCTTTTCTATCCTATAGACACTAATAAATGCAGGTGAAGACAGTCAATTTAGCATCAGCCTCTGCAGAAGTAAGCCTCAAAATGCACAATGAAAAGAGCATGATCCTTAAATACAACACATAGGACACCAACTGTAACAAACATAAAAAAGTACAAGTGTTTATAAACAATTGTCCACGCAAGATGTTCATTGGCTGTCGGCCGGATAGCATCAGCAACAACCCACTGTGGGAGAGAACAAGCCAACTTCCAGCTCAAGAGGAAATTAGGAAACGATGTTGAAGGTGGATAGGAAATGCAATGTGGAAACCACTAAACTGAATCGCTAGACAATCACTAAATTAGAACGCTACAGGGAAGAGGAAAAAGAAGATCAAGAAATATATTGCGTCAGTAATTGGTAGCAGGCACCAAAACAATGAATAGCAGACGGAAAGAATCGCCCAGGACACAGAGGTGGAGAATCTTTGTGAGCGATTTATACATGGGGTAACAAGCGTAAGTAATGTCAAATCAACCAAAAAAGCTGACTAGCTAAGATTGGAATCGCGGATCACCGGTATTTTCTGTGTTCTTAAAATACACATAAAAGGTCCTAGTGTTTTTTGATATCATCTAGCCAGTATGGGTAGTAAACGAGGTTTCCGTATCGTCTATGTGAATACATGAGAGGAGATAATAGTGTTCTTACCTATGTACAAAACTAATTTCGAAGGCAGGAAAAAAACACATGAGGAAACCCCTGTTGAAATTGGCTTATGTACTAGATATCGAAAAGATAGAAAACAAATGCCGTTATCTCTCCATCATTCCCAACTATACCTCCAATGACTGCAGGACGAATGAACTAAACCTAAAAGTAGCATAAGTATGTTAAACTGACTACCTTTTAGCAACCTATCAACTAATCAAAAATGTATTTAGTTCTGCAACGATTTGCATCTAGGAAAAAGTAAAATTACAGTAAATAAACACTTCGTACATGATATGAGCGTTACTACAATAAAACAAAGGTTAGTGTCAAGAGCTAGTAGTTTGTGTACGGTCAAAAGTGATGCCTATGAATTCGAGTTAGTAGAGTTAAGCTCAGGAGTTGGTAAAAGATGCCGGAAGTATACCACATTGACGGACCAGTCGCACCAAATTTAGTGTCACTCGAATTTCTAGAATTTAGAACACAGTTGTGAGTAATTTGTATTGTGCCGGAGTATGAGTAAAAATTACTTATATCTAGTTCTTAAGATGCCCAATATTAATGAAAAGTTATTACGGTACCACATTGAATATGATATCGCAAAACACAAGTACTTGCACCTGATGCGGACTATATCTGAATAGCTGAAACTGGTTAAGCATATATCACATGGTTTAGGGTCTAGTTAACACTGTTCGTGTGAGTAATAAGTAATTTTCATATAAAGCCTAGCTCGTAAGAATTTTTGGTATCAGTTAACGAACTCGGAAATGCGTGTTTTTACCACGACTATAATTTACAATTCAAATTCGACTAATCTGACCTTTTTCCGTTACTTTAACAGGTAATTCAATATGTAACCGTTTTTTCACCATGTAAAACTGTTTGAACAAGCAGTTTCATATGACAGTAGACGCCTGTTTCAATATCACCACTTTTTACAGTCAGTCGCTTTATAGCCAGAACATTCTCTGAAGGAGTAACAAATCGGTATACTTTAAACGTCAATATTCAGTTTCATTACATCCATGACATTTTCATTTCATTAAATGCCATCAGATTAAGTACTTTACTGTTTCATCATAATTAAATAAAGATGCATTTGAAGTTTAAATCACAAAGTAGGGCCAATTAGTCATGATGATAATAGCGGGTATAACAACTCAATAGGAAAACAACTTCGCACCGGTCACCAGCCATGCGGTCTAAACCCAGCGGTCGACCTTGTCAAATGACAGTATCTAGTGTAACACTTATTATGTGTCGCTAAACAAAAATGAGTAATTAGGATTCGGTATTGCGGTGTTTACCAATTTTTTCCTAATTACTTTTATTATCTTTCACTTTCAGTCCACCTACCGACAATTACTCATCAAAGTCTAAATAAAGGTGTTTAGGTTAGTATTTATTGGTATTTTATGTTGTTCCTCCTATTATAGTTATATGGACTTCTTCATGATACACCAGATTCTTATGTTGATCATCATCTTTGTATGTTTTCTCAGCCACAGGAGAAACTACATAAAATGAACAAAAAGTTTAATGAATACTGATGAGGTATCACCTACACCATTTTCCAGAGTAGATTCTCCATGTACCACTAAAGATAAATCCATGTGTCTATCAAAGACTACGCGGAAAAAATCGTTTACTTAAAGGGACAAGACCGGACTAAATACAGTATTAAGTGAAATACTCCCGTGTTGGTATCTAACCTTGAGAAGAGTATATAAAAACACACCAGCCATAGTAAAACCAACAAAACAATAAAGGCTGGTTTCCCCAATATGCTTTTTGTCACAAAGGTTTTCACTCCGCTCAAAAGATTTGGATCTCTTTTCAAAAGAGTTATCTTGGTATTTGAAGCTTCCATCTATTCTATTTGTATGAAGATCCGTTCAGCCATCATGTGTAATACTTATTTGTGAGTAAATCTGTAATGCGCCTATAATCGGTAAATTTGAATCGAACTGATATCGTCCCTCATACTCATATTGCTGTGAATCATGCACTGGGGAAGTAATTAAACCTGATCCCTGTTTATTGTAGGGGAGATTTATAGGTCCTTACATACTTTGACTCCATAGTAGAAAAACGTTAGCTTGGGGACGCCAGAGTTCTATTTACTCATGAAATGGGCTTAAGTAATGCTATCAAACTCATCCTTGTATATAATTAACGTGGGCGGCCCACGTGGATCATAGGTATCTAATCAATTTAAACGGAAATATTATGACCTCATAACTCACGTTAAAGCCACACCTCGCAGTCAATACCCATGATGAATTTCCGTTTCACAGTATCCAACAACTGTAGTTACTTTGATGACTATGTAGAACAAACACGGTGAAATAGAAGCAATGTATTGGTAAGAAAATGTGGAAAGAACAGAATGTGACCAGTGTCACGTGGGCCAGTCCGTAGCGTGCAATTGATTATTCTTCGTTGGCTACCCGTGACCTAACCGATGTTCGACAGACTTTTCGTAGATTAGAGATACGTAGAGAAGGTTTGCTCGATAGCAAAGTGAGATCTCATTGGCCCTTATCCCATTCAAAACGGATGCTAACATCCCACAAACCTTGTAGCTAGAAAAAAATAAAGCCACAGAAAATGACGGTCAGGGGTAGTGATATATTAAAGAATGTAGAAAAATACGAGACTGTTACTCTGAATATCTACGTTATGAGAGACATCCTAAATTGGCTTTGTTGGAGCTCAACAACCATGCTTGCTTAGTAACTCTCATTTAGAACTGTCCATTGAAATAAGAAATGGTTAGCATTAGTGAGTGTCGGCAGTGAGGATCTTTATTTTAGTCCATCTCTTAGTACTACAAAAGTAGTGGATATGATAAAAGTATTTAGGAAAGTAAGAAAAGCAATGTGTGGTATATCAACCGACAGAATATAATTACCTCTCCACAACCTAAACGTGCCCAGGATTTTACAAAGTTTAGCGTAAAAATCATTCGTGATATAAATGGGAACTGGGGACCTTTCCAAACCAAGTCTTTCAGACAAATAAACAGTTTCTTAATATTAAAGAGTTGTTTTGAAGTGTCTTCTTTTACAGTACTAACCAGTAACTGTATTTGGAGGACAATGCAAACAAATGAAATGGCAATAAGTGAACGAATATTGGTTGATAGATGTCTAACCCTTTGTCTCAACCGACTTTGTAGGTGTGAAAGTAGAATGCATGCATACACTAAAATCTATTATGACACTGAACTCACGACGCTGTTTTGATGTAATCATACAGAATCACTGTTATGGTTTCCTAAGTAGTGAGATTTTCAACCATCAAATAAGAAACATTGATTCGTTCTTACCATACCTATGTCAGAACTTGAGAAATATTTTCAATAAGCATGGGTTTCATTTTTAAAAATCCCAGTTTGTTTTGCGAACTTTCTGGATCGATTTCTCCATACAACCATACTTGGAAGACATTGTTATACTTAAAGTCTTACACGAGAATTATAGAAAATGTGTTATTTGAACAATTTGAATTTTTCAGAACGCATGTATAAGGTACATGAGACGGTAACCAATAATGCAATTAGTTAGTGTCGCTGAAATAAGGTAATAATTACATTTTATATTCGTTTATAATATGTAATTATATCGCAAAACTCATCATAATGGCAAATTTATTGTTTATGGACGGTTTATGTTTATTTTGTAAATTATTCGTCAATTAGTGGGTGATGCAGCTCAGTTTACTGGATCAAAGTCTGACCGTTAATCAGTGTAAATCAAATGAAAATCGTCGTATTCAGATGTCACTGTGATTTACTTTAAATGTCCAATAAAGTGTTACTACTGTCCCCATGTTTTTGATTTTCTCATCAAACTCTCGATTTCCGGTATCAAGCACCAAGCCAGTTGAATACTCCACAAACATAATAATGGTGATTGGTGGCTGTATTAATCCATCCACTCATCATAACGACTGATAGGACCTTGCTATTATATTTGTAGAATTCTCAAATGGCTTGGTGCCTGATACTGGTCTCTCAACGATATGCTCATGTTCATCGAGTTAAGCCAGTTTTGTTCACTCATTCACGAACACTGGCATTTTCATCATACCATAGCATAGTTTATCGACTAACTGCCTAATCTAAAAGATCTTACGTAGAAGTCACATAATCGTCTACACCAATTCATTGCTTCGCAACAACCCCCAATATATGATGGAGAACGAGCTTATGCCAGAGATAGGACAATATATTTAACATGAATAAGGGAGGATTGTGTGGTTAGGACCCAATGCCACTACAGATTTACAATAAAAAAAATACAACTTCGGGCATTCCATTTTCACGGTCACTATTCTGTGCTTCTGGTCACTCTACTAATACATATTCAACAGGAATCCATTTGCTGAGAGGCGGTAAATAAATCCTTATAATAAATAGCTATATAAGCCTTCAGAGTTGATTCTGACTTCATTGGTTTTATTGAACATATCCTAGCTGAAGATTTCCGATCGTACATCCTCACTAAATAACGAGTATGTCCTGCTACGCATCCGTTGTGACTACTAACCAGCATAGATAATACGCATCCTAACACATCTTTGAACTCCTTGTTTAATAACTTCTGATTTGACTGAGTTGACATCCTTTAATTATAAATGTGTTAATGACGAAGTCGTTATCAAGACCAAAAGATCTGTAGTATCTTTGGTTTTACCGATGACACCATATTCCGACTCCTCATTTTAAAAATATTTAGTTTTCTGAGCTAAATAGGTCAGTCCTGAAGTTTTCACTATCTTTTACAATATCATCAGCACATATTTCTATTAAGAGTGAGCTGGTAACAAAGAGAATCGTACACCAATTCCAGTTTCTATCCAACGACTTAATTATTCCAATCCTATTTATAGAAACCTCATGCAATCTGTGAAGGAAACTTGTAAACAATTTGTTTAACAAGTTTACTTGTTTTTAAGCAAGGAGTTACGGAGACAATTGTCTTTCATTGGGATCATAGCCCAATCAATGTTAGATCACCATTAAAAAACTGTAAGCACTGGATTGCTATATGGGACCTTTCAGCGGTGCGCAACTATGACACCTCTACAAGGAACCGGATCCAAAACCTAGTTTCTCGCTCGCGAACATTAACTTCTAGACCAACAGGTCGAGATCAAAAGATGTTAATGTCAATTCACGGTATTGCACGACCATCTTCCATTGTCTTCAGTGGATAACTCCCTGACACACAACAGGACTTAATTATTTGTTAATGATTTTTTGTTTACTCGTCTGCGACTATTCACTTCATTCTATTCAAGCTTATCATTACTAATCTTTGAAGTTTATTAAAATGTTAAACATATATGTACTAAAATATTTTGTCATGCATCATTACATGCACATTCGCATAAAAATGACATTTTAGCATTGTTCAATACTGATATCATGTTCATGTCACTCCCTCTTACAACATTTGATTTATATAATTGACATTAAAACACGGGTCATATTTATTTTATGCTTTCAACTAAATTATTTTATCAACGTTTTGAAGTGTTATAACGGAACACATTTTGCAGTAATTAAAAATGACTTTCTTAGTTAATAATAATTATAACTTCGTTGTATGATTACTGAGATACCAGGTTATTATGTATACATTTTTCATCATCAAAAGATTCTGTTGGATCAATAACTACTGTCATACGATTTATTATTCCTAATTTCTTACCAGTCTATTACTAACAATCTCCCCTATTCACAGACACTTTTGACTTGTTGGTATATAATTGTCAATAGTTCTGATCGTGTGTGTGTGTGTGTGTTTAACTGACCAATTTGGAGACACTGAGCTATATAGTGAGTATTAGACCAAATTATAACCAGAATTCTGATTGGTGTCTTGTCTCTTGATTTGGTCAGAACGTCCACGAGACATAATATGAAATAACGTTATTTGGATGCTTATCACATTCAACTTTTTGTGGTTTATTATTCGGTGTATTTCGTGAGCAGTGACACTTTATATGTATATATTGCTCCAGGTAAAAAGTTAAATGTAGTGACATATTTATGCTCGGATCGGATCGTAAATCAATGTGACGTGCAAATAATTTGGTGACATTATATGACGTTTGTATTTTTTAAAATGTAACGTTATTGCTTTCATTGTATGGATCCATGCCTATCTCCATTTATCCATATTGCTCTTTGACTGTTTTAATAAACTTATTTCACGGAATCAGTGTAAAGCTGGCCTCCAACTTGCATCTTCACTCGTTAAGTTTCTTTGCTAGCATGAATATCCGAAGTATACATGTCTTATAATAAATATATTTTTGCTATATACCAATGAGTAGAAAAATTGTATTTCTGAGCAAATAAATAACGGGTTATTTATTTACGCTGAAGAAATGGCTTACATTGAGTCACGAAACGTCAGAAATACAACTTTTCTACTCATTGGGATATAGCAAAAATATATTTATTATTAACTTTCTACCCAAACCTCATTCTATTTGAAACTATCGAATTCAACCATGGCACTGATACTTATATACTTGTCATAGATACAACCCGACGTTTTATTTCTAAATTGTATGAATGTGATTAGCTAAATAGTTCATACACCTCAGTAGCACCACTGTCGTCTAGTTATATTAGAGTCACATACAGGTATTAAATTGTCAACCACTTCTGAATCCAATAGCCATGAAATAAACCACAGAACATGTAGTCGTAATTTTAATGTTAGATTATATTTGTATTTCCACAAGTCAAATACATTATATTTATCTTTAACAATGACAATAATACAAAAGGGAAATCAAAAACGTTCCTACATCTTACATTCATTGATTGCATACATATATTTTTCAAATTCGTGGTATTTCACCTTTGGACCAGTCGAAATATGATTCTAGTTTACTTTGCCGTCTTATATCGCACGTCCAACAATGAAACCCTCCTCCAATCGAATTTGCATATTTAAATTTTACATTGATTGGTTTAATTCCTATACTTTTGTACATTTCTTGAATCCCTGTCTCTTCAGATTCTACAATTACTCTATTCTGATCTAACATCAAGACATTCATTGATAACCAGTTGGAACCAAGCCACATTTCATGATCTATATGTTAGAAAATAAAAAGTAGGGAATTATTTTACATTACAAATTCTTTTTTTTTATTTTAACAGGTTATACTCGATATTTTAAAATTTTCTCACTGACAAGGAAGATGGCAGATTGAAACCGGTTACTAGAAAATAATTACTATATATTACTCTTGCACAGTGCACCTCCTCAGTACGGATCATGTATGTTTTGTATTTCGGTCCTCAGATGCTATCTATAAATCACATAAAGTGTAAAGGCTATTCGATGGGTGCTCCATAAAGTCAACTTGATTGACAGAAAACTAATTGATTTGCACACAAAACATCAGAATAAGAAAGACAGATACTTTTCATAGCAAATCAATCTATTATTTAATACCAAATAAAGTAATGAATATTACAATTATTCGTCAATGAAACATGATTACTAACCTATGTCTGCAGGTCGCTTCTACACCGTACACAATTTTCGTATCTACTAATTCTGCTATTTATTTCTTTATCTACTTTCATTTTAGTACACCGTGTAGGTATCCCATTTCTAAAAACCTTAGATATATGTGTATTGACAACACTCGTTTATTTAGCCTTCAAAAAAAGGAGATAGGGAATTCTTCCGTACGAGATAACCATTTACTCTCAGATTAGCTACAGCTGAGTGAATAAGAGGATTGAGTATTGTAAAACATTTTAAGAATAGTAATTATTCTCTGTTATTAAACCATAATAATAAATTTAAGATATATTCAAATAATAAATACAGAAAATAGAAATGTAGTGATATTAACTGTTAAAGTAACTTATTACTTTGGTACAAGTCTCTGTATTCACTTATAAAAGACACTAATGTTTGATAGCTAATGTTAGTACACAGTTTCAATCGTAGCTTAACATGTCATCTACTGATTGAAAATCAAGTCTGTGAACTGTTAAGATATCATTCTATCTAGCCAATCTACATTCATCAATCGTCATACTTGTTTACTGCAAACCGTTTACAATTTAAATACCTCCCGATATTTCAGTAACTACATTCGGTCGATTTAACATGTATTAGTACTCACCTTTTTTCATTAATGGTTGTGGTGCGTCGATAACTTGCCAACCGGCTTTTCTGATAAAATCAACTTGATGACATGGACGATCAGGGTTTTGAATAGCTATACCAGGTTTAACTAAAGTAAAAGTTGCATCAATATGCATTGGTCTTGGATCAACAAATGAAAGCCTATGAACTTTTATACCACGAGGCTCTAAATGTCTTCTAACCCATTCGATTCCTGATAAATTTGTGACCTAACAAGAATAAAGATCAAAGTAATTATAATATATCACTCGAAATCATAAGGATAATTACTTATTATATGATAAGATTATAAAAGATACATTAAATATAAGCAATAAAACCGTCTATTTCACCTAATAGATATTTTTAACCAAACCAATTTGATTTGAATGGGGATTGTTTCTCTAGTTGTAGAATTAAACGTATAAAAGTATTCCAAGAGAAATTATTTTACAATTCTATAGTTCTACTCTTCCTGAACTTCTCTCAGGCAACCGAAAGAACTATAGGTACTTAAAAGTGTGGTTGATATTCACAACACTTAGTAGTACAATGAAATGAAGCTGATAGATTATTATGAATAATTGGGAAAGATGGGACTTTTAGAATCGTCTTACTAAGATCAGTAATAACTGTTCTTATTATTTAATTATTGAATATTAAGGTTATTGTATTTTCGTATAACTCTTGTTGTAAGCTTCCATTTCATTTATTAACTATAGTTATATATTTTGCCGTTCTTCAATTATCGTTAATTTATAAAAACCTATTGGGCAGTTTTTAGCTTAATCATGTACATATTTTAGTTTCTTATTTGTGGAGTGTTATCACCATGTTATTGAAATATATCATTCTGTGGATTTTTTTTTATTCAGCAAGATGATGAGAAAATACAGCAATAAGGTGAATACTGACTTGTTATCTCCATCATTTTACTAACTGTTAAGGACAGAAGGAAATGTATGGACCAATAGGAGTTAAAGGGATTCTGGTTATTGTGGGAGGTCAGTTGTGTTATTGATTTTGAAGAAAGCTACTGATTTGATCAGCGTATGAGCACTTGCAACTAATGAACTATCTAATTTTATCACCCAAGTAAATGGAATTTTAAGAGATTGAAGGTCATAACAAAAACATATAGGAAATTCATTTCTTATGGCAACTAATGTTTTCACACGGCTAAACAGAATCTGATTGCCATTTCTATACACCTTTAATTTATTTTACGGTAAGCCTATCAAGCTCAATCGAGAATTCTTTATTTGATATGTAGCAACTTTAGTTAGATAGGATTGATTTTAATGAAATCGTAAACTGTTAAAGATTATACAACTTCGTACATTGTATTATTGACAATGCTAAGAAAGTACATCCATTCAATTGATGATTGTCACATACAAAACTGATTGAATTCCGATGTTAGCTGTTGTTCAAAGTACAATTTAATATGTTAATGTTTAACTTAATTTATTTGTTCAGAACAGCAAGACACTATCTTCTTTATAAGTCTTTTGTATTAGTTGTTTAAATAGTCTAATTAATGGTGATGACTGTAATTTGTCACTATCTTTTTGACATATGTGCATCCTCTGCGGATTGCTATCAAGTCATAAGCATCATAAACAGTGAACATCAACTCTGGGTTGCAAGTACATCCGGCTGATTAGTCCCAAACAGGACAAAACGCGCGTCGTGAATTCTACTGCTAGCCACTATCCATCTCTGCTTAGTTTCTCTTCAATTTATTAATATTATACTAGTAAGTAAAGTTAGGGTATATTCCTAATAAGAATATTAGAAAGAAGTCAAGGTTAACATGACAAACTCTTTCTTGTCTATTTGTCTAGAAAACTCAACTTGTTTATTTTCTTTTTATAATTCATTTTACATTTCAACAACAACCATCGTTTTAAACGTTAATGACTTCACGTTCTTTACAAAAATTCAAAAACACTGGAAAATTTAAATGGTTTATTTATTCAATTTGAGAACTAATTGAAGATATAGATCTTCAAGTTATTTTAAACCTGAAATAGATAGTTATTTATTACATATGATTACGTCTTGATTGTCAATTGTGAACCGCTTCTGAATGAAAAATTAAGGTAATTCAGCAACAACAAAAAAACTCTTCGTTTAAGATTATTTCATTCAATTAAAGCTGTACAATCACATTTATAGTGATTTAATGAAATTATGAGTCTATAGAAGAATAGAAAGAGATTAATTCATAAAGTGTCTAGATATGTCAAGTAACGTTATGCTTTTGAGGTGAAAGAAAATAGGTAAATAAAAATAACTTACGGGTCAGAAACATACGAGATAATTGCCTACTTGACAGAAATGAAGAACAAATAAAAAAGTAAAGATGATAATAACAATTGAATAACAGTTCTGAAAATTCCTAAGAAGGTAGTAGTAACTGAATACTGATTAAAAAGTAAAACATATTAAGACTATAAGATACTTGAAGGTGTGAAGTCTTGTAGACCGTCTGACTAATATCATATAACAAGACACCAATCAGAATTGTGGTTATAATTTGGTCTAATACTCACGATATAGCTCAGTGTCTCCAAAATTGGTCAGTTAAACACATACCCGATCAGAACTGTTGACAATTATATACTAACAAGTCAGAACTCTCTGTGAATAGGGGAGATTGTTAGTAATAGACTGGTAAGAAATTAGGAATAATAAATCGTATAACAGTAGTTATTGATCCAACAGAATCTTTTGATGATGAAAAATGTATACATAATAACCTGGTATCTCAGTAATTATACAACGAAGTTATAATTATTATTAACTAAGAAAGTCATTTTTAATTACTGCAAAATGTGTTTCGTTATAACACTTCAAAACGTTGATAAAATAATTTAGTTGAAAGCATAAAATAAATATGACCCGTGTTTTAATGTCAATTATATAAATCAAATGTTGTAAGAGGGAGTGACATGAACATGATATCAGTATTGAACAATGCTAAAATGTCATTTTTATGCGAATGTGCATGTAATGATGCATGGAAAAATATTTTAGTACATATATGTTTAACATTTTAATAAACCTCAAAGATTAGTAATGATAAGCTTGAATAGAATGAAGTGAATAGTCGCAGACGAGTAAACAAAAGATCATTAACAAATAATTAAGTCCTGTTGTGTGTCAGGGAGTTATCCACTGAAGACAATGGAAGATGGTCGTGCAATATCGTGGACTGACATTAACACCTTTTGATCTCGACCTGTTGGTCTAGAAGTTAATGTTCGCGAGCGAGAAACTAGGTTTTGGATCCGGTTCCTTGTAGAGGTGTCATAGTTGCGCACTGCTGAAAGGTCCCATATAGCAATCCAGTGCTTACAGCTTTTTAATGGTGATCTAACATTGATTGGGCTATCATCTCAATGAATTGTCAAAGCCTTAGGAGTTCACAGGTTTTCGATTCGACCTTCCTTTGGTCACTCTTGTTTGATCGTGTGGAGTATTTTGAAAGGTGGTTATATAGGAAGGAAGTTGATGGGATCTTTTTGTATTGAGCTGTTAATTATTTTACCTTCCTTCATATTTCTTACCACTAAATTATTTTTCGTTTGCCCATTTTCATTTCACATCAAGATCATTACGTTACGTTCTTTTGATATTTGACATATCGAAACACTTTATGAATTGATCTCCTATTATTCCACTATTTTATTTAGTAATATCGTTGACAAGAAATTTGTTCTATTGAATATGAGTTTATTGTTTAATGACGTAATGGGTTTTTGTTTGTTGATACTGTCTATGAAAAATAATATTCGATGTAGTGAAAAAAAACACAATATATGGTATGAATACTTAATGTTCATATCCATTCATTTGGAAAAGAAAATTCATTAAATGACAAGAAAAAAACAAATACTTACTTGACTTCTTTGTGCAAAAATATCCCGTCCAGCACGTATAAAGTCAGCAGCATCAAAGCATGGTTCACTTTCTGTTGTCACTTTTCCATAATCTGGATTATGTTCATCACTGAGACCTACATTGATAGGTTCATCCTAGGTAAATGTTGATAGACAAAAGTTTTTTAAAAATATTGTAACAGTTGTTCAGTCATCAATCAAACGTTTGAATGTTTCATTAAACTGATATCCGAAGTTTTACAATTAAGTCATTGGTTGGCACTATTCATGAAATATATTGATAAACTTCGAAGGAATATATATAAATGTATAAATGTTTAAGCTAAATTCTGCATATTCCTTATTCAAACTTAATTTGGTGAAATATTTCTAGTGGTATTTGTTTGCTTCTAATAAAAGCATTATTATGTAAACAATGAAACTACATTGAATGGTGTAATTTTCTTTACTTGAAATAATATTAATAATCCTGTGCTTTAGATTTTACGTATTTCTGGAATTACGCAGCACTTAGTTTTGTTAAAAAACGGATTTAAGTGAAACATCATAAGTACGCTGTGGCTCGTTATTTTAATGCCAATTAGATCGGACGATGTTGCCGACAGGCTCACCACTTTAGTAATCTTATATCTGATTCCAATTGGATCGTAAAAATGATTGTTATTGAAATATACATGTCGTCAATCCTCGTATATAATCATCGACTTAACTCGCTTAAGTGGATAACGGAATTCATTAAGTCAAATACGAGAATGAATTCCGAATACATGTATTTTATATAATCGTTGATCCACATAAGCGAAGAGAAGAGAGCGAAGCGAAATGATGCGCGGTGGAGAAAGCATGTAAGTCAACTCAATTTAATCAAGTGTTAATAAATGTTGATAGTCAGACAAATATAAATTACAAACATGTGATGAATAGAATAAAAAGTGAACACATTTACGCTTACATAAAAACAGTCAAGGTTGATAAGCAAACAATTAAAAAGGCCAAAATGTGACTCAAGAAGAATGAATAGATTGGTCTGTCCGAAAGCTAGAACAAGTTATGTGGGCTAAGCATAGCAACAGACACTACAACGTCATCTTTCTATTTTTAAGGCCGAATGAACATCAATATGGTGGCATATCAGAGTAGATGTATAGTGAAAACAAATATGCTTAAATACACACACGTATACACACGAGTAACAGAAGCGAATAAAGAATATCTAGTCCTCCAGGAAACGTTTATCAAATACCATATTTTTATATTCTGTTCATCAATCAATCAGAAATATTGAAGTATGTAAATCAACTTGGTTGTGGTTTTTAATTTAATCTCCAATATTCTTAAATTTGATTATTTATCATGGGACAAGAATAATGAAAATTAGTTTTTTTTTAATATTTTAATAACATTAAATGAAATCAACTCTATTGCAAATTTATTTATCCCAGTTGCTCATTTATCATATTTGCTTCATGTGATCAAATATAAGATCAATTAAACATTTCATTTGCATCACGAGACAAGAGTTAACTTAGAATCCTGAAGGGAAACGCAAAAAAAGAGGAAAACTAAGGAACAAACTGTGTCAAGAATTGGTAGCAGACGTGAAAAGGATGAATAGAGCTTGGAAATAAATAATCGAGGAAGAGAACGAAGGACAAAGTTGAATGGAGAATGCTGGTAGGTGGTCTTATAGCGACTCACGTGCAAATGAGTTTAGTCTCATCTAACGCAGTTAAGCCCTTTTGCTAACTCATTTAGCGAATAAAGTCATCCGCATTATAACAATTTATTGTACCCTTATTATTTTGTGCTTGTATGAAATACGTATGCTTGAATATTGCTTACGGCCTACGCATTTATTCACTCTGCTAGTCTTACTACTAACTGATTATTTGATTCGATTACTCATTCATTTCACATGCTATATATATGTCCATGTTATTCATACTCACACACTCTCGTCTCGCTTGCTTGCCTTTCGGCACAACTCTTCTATGCTTGTTTAACGCATCTGTACATTTAGATATATGTGTGTGGTCTCGTAATAAACGTAATCAACACTTTGTATTTGCCTTCTGGTTAATAAACCGTTGAGACGTTATATAGAACGGTTATCAAGACGAACTGTATACGAAGTTTATTGATTATATCGAATACCGACCACCACAGTCTATACTCCTCCATGAGAGGTAACAGGCGTAAGCAAACGTAAACATTTCGTTATTTTTATTTAACTAACAAATTCAATCCAATTTGTATACGAACAGACTTGAGTTTAGAAGAAAATTAAAAAAAGAAATGTCATTTGTTTTGATTGACGACTGAATTAATTAAAATAAGTGTTATTCCTTTTTACAGTTTCCTTTTTTTTCTTATTTCTATGACATCATTTCAGTGAAATTTATTTACAGATATATGGGTAAATGGATTCTAACACAGACTTTAATACAGAATTTAATCAAGTGGTTTTACAGATTTATTTAATTCGAAGATAATTAGTTGTTAGTAATAGTCTGAGACCTCTGGAAGAATAGATTAGACCAAGTAGTTAGTATTGAACAGCTATTTTGTTCTATTTTGATGCTCGTGATTAGTGAATATTTACGATCGAAAATATCTATTCTGCTAGTATGACATTTTCATACAGTTTCTACTTTATTTTCCTCATATTCTTGTAAACTCCTCATTTTATGATGAAGCAACATTATCTTTTATAGTATTCCTGAATGATGACTCACATTACTCATGAAGTTTGGATTGGAATTTCATTACAATTCCACCTAAATGATTTACTGTTTTCTGATGACCGAATCAGTTCCTTGTCTGTAGGTATGTTAGGAAGCCTATATGGAGCGACATTCGGTTAATTATTATGTAGTGATCAATTTCTAATAGTGCTGACTGTATTCTGTTTAACGAGTCGCAATTAGGCCACTAGTCTAAGTGACTTGACATCGCGTGTACTGTGGTGAAATGTCAGTGGGTCGAATTTGGTTGATAAGAAACTTTGAATCTAGCTTTTTTACTGTTTTTAATGCTTACCGGTAAGCTTATCGGTAGAATTCGATCAACACTAAACAAACTAGATAAATATAACGCTGACCACTACTCAGTCCTACTAGAAGCCAGTATCAGTATGAATAGATCAGTGGTAACACCTCACATCGTGAAGCTCTAAAACATGTGATTGGGTACACTAAGTAGCATCAGCTTCCTCACGATTGCAAGTACACGTTGTTGACAAGTGGCAAATGGTATGAAATGTAGGTGCAAAGTTTCCTGCCAAATACCTTCAACCACCAAATGTCTTGAATATATTCAGTGAGAAATCAATGAAGTACCCAGTGATTCAATTGTATTCAGTGAATATTGTCGTACTAATTGTGTTTAAGTTTAATTTAATCAATAACATAAAGTATCAATTAGTTTAAGTGAATTTTCGTCAAAACGTTGGCAAATAGTTTTATTTACTTTTCTCCTATATTATACAGAAGACAGTGAGTATAAAATGTGTTTAAAAAACTCTCCATGATAAAGATTAATTATTTTTGATATTTCACATGTCAGTTTCATCTACGTGGCTTAAAAAAGCAGGATTTATTGATATCGGAACTTTAGTTTTATAAATACAGATAAAAATACAATGAGTGATGTAAACAAAGTCGTGTTTGTCCTGTTGGTGACCGATTAGGTTTCGATCAGGTTCCTATTTAGTTACTAGTTTAAGCAGCTTGATATTAACTACACTTTATTATAGTACAGATATATTTTTGTGAAAAGTTTCATCTAGCACCTCATACAGGTTCATGATTTCATAAAGATTGCCTAAAACCACCTAACACAAACACTTTTAATTCCCTCAAGATTGAATATGTACCTTAAAAACATATGATAACTAGCCTGAAAGTTATATCCAGTGCTTTCTGTTAACTGCTTCGATCCACACAACATATATATCATATGCAACAATTTCAATACACTCAACAGTCAATTGAATTCATGCTATAAGAAGTAGCAAAATTTGTAGCACAATTATCTGATATAAAGATCCACAATTGATTGATTACTGGGTGGTGATCAATGTCATGTGTTTCAAGCCCTTCTTAGTGCAGATCGAATGCTATTGACAAAGTTGGAATGTGGCCACTAGTCTAGGTGACTCGACATTGCGTGCACTACATTAAGATAAGATCCTATTAAACTTATCTATCTTTCATCATTTCAGTCTCCAATATTCTCTTGAAGAAGCTTCAGCCAGAAAGACAAGTAAATTCGGAAAGATTTGATCTCCATCATTAAGAGATTTGTTAATATAATTTTTTATCTGTTTTTGTTTATTTTATGAGCTCTAGAGTTTGCTAATTTCGACCTAACAATTTAGTTTTAAAGCATTAAGTCGATAAAGAAGGAATAAATACCGTCAACATAATTTGGTTTTGCTAGAATTACTTAATGAAAATGTTGGTTTATTCAAGATAAAAAAATCTTTAAACAATTTCATCCAATCAGATGAATAAGTGGTCATTAGTCTTCTGTGTCTGCTAAAATCAGTAAGACAAATCAGTTAAAGTATTGGTGACTCTGGTATGATATGGCTCAGAATTGATCACAATGGCGTCGGTGTATACACTCTTTGCCTTCCCTTAAACTGTGAGATCAAAATTGCTTCCTACCTTTCGTTCTACGAACTAATTCTTTCTTCCTGTACTATATCCTTATATGCAATCTTTCTTTTATATATTACCACTATTGAATTAACTACTTTTATTGAATTTGATGTTCATCTTGTTGTGCTAATGAGGTGTGGTAACTTGGACCGATGGATATATGTGACTGGTCCTACGTTGTAGCTGACTGACTGTCTGAGTTAAAATCAAGAAGCAAAGAATAAATCTTCTAATTTAATGTTTTTGAGTAAGTGAAGAGGAACTATATCTTTAGTTGAAGGAATTTTGTGGAGATTGATTTAATTTGTAGGTTTTATTCATCATAAAATAATTTCAGCTGAGATATAACTGAAAATCAGTTTTGTTCAAATATAAAACTCTTCGAATCTGTGCATCTGTGGCCATGTAAAGGATTGAATTCAGGTCCTTTAATTCTCATGGAGAGCGCTGAACGATTATAGTTGCATGGCCCACCTCCAATTGCACATATTTCGAAAATCAATTAATTTGTATCAAATTGAGATGATTATCCAATCTGATCAATGACAACTGTTTCACTCCCAAAATATTTGAGCAAAACTAACCACTACTTTTAACTACAATGAGACAACTAACTAATACTCTCTGGTTTACAATAATATTTTGAGTTAGACCAGTCTTTAGAAAATAAAATCTGCACAGAAACCATATCGGTCAAAATTAGTTTTAAAAATGTAATGACTGGTTGATTACAGTGATAAACGTAACACGAAAAATCCAGACTCTTCAATCGACTGCTTGGTGGAAATGAAGACAGAATGACTATCTATGGTAAAACATTTGTACAGCATTCATTTAAGTATCAAACGCATTGGTAATTAGGCATTCTATATATTTTAAAACTAATGGAAACTCATTTTCTTCTTCAGGCTCTACTCTTCAATCGTCATTCTCAAGTTATGTCTTGTAGGACTACTCCAAGTATTTTTGATGACTACTATAGTGCAATTAGTAATACTGCTATCTGGAAATCACTGCCATGATCGTTGTGACTACTTTATTCGGTAAAATAACTTCGCTATTTTTCAGGGACATGAGATTTATCAAGGTTAAGTACAAATCTCATTATTTTGTACCAACAAATACAAAATCTTATTCCGTATCTTTTTGCTAAATAACCTTTAACTATCAAATGAAGTTCAACGCGATGACAAATAAATGGCTTATCCACTTCATCGAGTGGACAATAGTCCAGTTTTAATAAAAGATTCGGTCTAGAGGAAAAACATTTCTTTACTGAATGAGGTTCTTTCCGAAACAATAATGACTGTAGACAGGAGTTATTGATAACTCACTCTTATTAATTTGGAAAAATTAGTTGGCTTAGGTCCAATTGTCCATTTGGCTCCTTGTTTCCAATAATTTAAAGCAAGTGGTCTATAGGCCAAATATTCAAAATATCTTGATCTCCAAGTCATTGTCGCTTCGATTATTTCATCACCGACAATTAATAAGAAATCTCTTGGCATAGCAGCATAGAAGCCTGCATACAAAAGTTTGGGTATAGAAAATAGGCAGTGAGTGAAGAAAAAAAATTAAAGTCTCAGTAGTCAGTTACAAAAATTGCATTCGATAAAATAAACTCAGTGAGTAGAATATTTGCTTTTTTAAGAGTTGTTAGAAGTGAATATGAGCGTTTATGGAAGACAAATAAATAGAAAGTTAGAATGGCGAGTGAAGAATATTTAATTGGAAGATTATTTTCATCATCGAGTGATGTTAATCGGAGATCTATTGAAAATTAGAAAAGACAAGGCATCTGTTTCTGATTCGTCGGTGAAAATAAACATACTTTTTTGTTTGATTGTTTGGCGTCCCTGATATCGGACTGAAAAATAGGAGAGTAGATGTACTGATCTAGTTCCAGTATTTATTAACTCGTATAGACTGTCCGTCTGTCTAGTAACAACAACCGTCTGCGAACCAATGATACGATAAAAGTGAAATAACAGTTGGGATTAACACTAAACAACCAAATAATTCAACAAACAGTCAACTTCTAAATATACAGTTTGAATTCACCAACCACACATACAATAATATAGAGCCTAATCTTGACCGCACATCAACAGAACTAAGAAATTACGTTAAGGGTATAACTGCGTCATGGGTGGAAAAGAACTGACTAATAGACCCGTAATAAATTAACAGTAATTTAGGAATGATAAAACACACAACAATGATTTATGTGTTAGATAAGAGCTCATAAATAGGAGAATACAAGAATATAATAGTTTAAGTATTTAATAATTCTACAACGAAGATATCAACAAAAACGTCAGACAAGACTATTCTGACAGTCCACTTCCACTTTATTATTTATCTCGCCATAGCATTTTCCTCCTAGCTTAACCATCCTGGTCAGTTTGCACTAATGACGTCACCAAGAATACAATGTGCAAACCTCGAGTTTAGTGACGGGCATAATATCTTCAGTCAGAATTCAAGCGTGGCAAGTATCTAAGTTTTAGATATTATAAACTAAACTGTTTCATTATGTTTGAAGAATATTTTAGAGGAAACCAATATGGCTGTATAACACTTCCATTTTTTTGTAAAACAATCTCTCATCTTTTTGAAATGTTTACAACGAAAAATGCCTCGTAACAAATAAGCACAAGACAAACCTCATTTTTACGGTAAATTTCATCGGCCATGAACAGCACCACAAAAAAGCTAGATATGGTCTTGTTGCTTGGTTGTAAAGTAGATTAAGCATTAGAAGTTTTTATATCTTGTCCATTATGTTGGTACAAATGAAATAAGACTTGAGTTATGAAGTATACTCATCTTCATTTGAAAATGAGAGTACATCATAGGAATTAAGTCCGTTTTGTAACCAATAATGGTTTTGGAATGGATTGATTTGTCCGATGCTTTCAACAAGTAGTATATAACTTCCAAATCAGAAAATTTACAAAAGGAATCATTGTTAGTTATTATTTACATAACAATAACTAGGTAATTACGTTCGGTAAATTTTTGGTTTATCATTCCATAATAGAATGATAATGAACATAAAATAGTTAAATCGTCAGTGGTCAATCAGACGAATTACTAACACGAAGTAATCATGCTCAGTTTTGGCCGACACATTCACACTTGAGATGGTGTTTCATATGCTTTGTTAATGTTCAATTAATTCAATAGAACTTCAAATTAGTAAAAAGTAATAAATAGGAAATGCCTGTGTACTGTAAAATAAATCATCAACAGTTAAAACGATGCCAACAAACCTTGTGTTTCAAAGTCAAGAAGTTTATATGACTTTCTATGATCGACTGGATCAGGTCGAACAACTTTAATACCTTCTAATTCAAGCATTTTAACAAAATCTTCAACTTGTTTGCATAACAGTTGCCAATGTTCTTTTGGTATAACATCAGCCCAATATTTACCTCCATTTTTAATGTAGAAATTGTGTTTAGCACTTGCAGCACAAGTCTATGTGAAGTAAAAAAAAATAAACATGCACTAACAACTAACATAGAAATTATAGGGGATTTACTATATCTCTAAAAACACATAACATATTATCATTATTACTTAAGAATTCAAAGTATGATGCTTTCCATGCAAATGTAATGGGATTCAACTTATATAGAGAGTTACTAGCTGTATATCAATAAAAACAAGTATTTTTTCGTGAAAATTAGTCTGTTATTGTTTAATTAATTTTAAGAGATTGTTTTTCTTTACCTTTCTTACTTCCAAAGATAATTAGAAATTGTATAAAACTTTATACTAAACTAGAAAAACTTACTTTCACTTCAGGTAACAAATGTGGTACTGTCGCATATTCTGGTGTTCCAACAATGATTTCTTCTAAAGGATCCCATTCATTCCATGAATTTACAGGTGATGTTAATTTATTCTGTTTAGGTTCCACATCAGTTGAATATAAACTTGAAACAGTTTTAATTGGTACTGATGTCACATTCTGTATACATCTAATCTGTTGTTTTTTTAAAAAAAAGAAGATGAAATGAGTAGTACTGAACTGAGATTTTTGCAATTTTTACATATATGGGTCATGTTCTGTGACTGCTAAATATAGTAAGAAAAATATTTGTAGAGAGTAAATATCCTTTTCTTTAAACTGATGCATTATATTAGATAGGTGGTCATTAGATTTTGTATATCAAAATCAATTATTTGAACAGACATTTTTAATAGGTTGCTTTGATTAAGGACTGTTGAATATCTTTGTCTATAGAGGTCCATCATCTATGAAGAAAATATCGTTACGTCGATTTCGATCTACTTCAAAGTATTATCTTATATACTTAACGACGATAACTGTGTTTTAAAATAATATCAAGTTTTAATGAACTATTATATAAACTCTACTTCAGTAAAGATTGTTATTTGTAACTGTAGTTAACAAATCTCTGTGTAATAAAAGTTTCTGTGCCTGATTCACCTTCTAGATATTTAACTATTGACAATAAGATAATAGATTTAAACGAAATTTTGTTAGTTTCCCGTGCACTACACGTTTTTACGGAAAGAATTTATTTATCGCGAGGAAGGCTTTTTTCCAGAACAGTATACTAGAAAAGCAACAAATCAAGGGGTAAACTTTTTTTTAATCATATACTGATAAGCGTAGATTTAAAAATGGTGGAAAAATAGATAGTAATCAATTCAGAAATGGTTTCTTAGCTTGAAGGTATTGTTGTTATGTATAATACTTACAGTATTCACGATAGTACCATAAAAATATGCTTGTAGTTAAGCATTTGACAAACTAGGAACCCATTTAACGAACGTTGTATTGTCGCCTGAAATTGTCCAACCATGTTCTCTCCTTACACCATAGAGAACTGAATCATAGCCATGCACTCCTTAAGGTTAATTCATTTCTACACAGTAAGTTTGTAACAGTCTCGTAGTTTACATAACCTAATTTGATGTATAGTGTAAACATTACCCAGTAACCTTATACGAACACTAAAATAGGTTTCATAATTCATTGATTTACGTCAGAACATTGATTGGTTCACGTCAAAATAAGTCATACACGAAAGTGGATTGCAGTTCCTTTGAACGATCTATAAGACATTTGTATATTTCAGAATAGTTTTCTTTACTTGTTAACGAATTAAGTAACTACTCAAGGCCATTATGAAAGAACAGAGGTTAATGCTAAAAAATTATTGAAATTATTCACGTTGTTTTTCATAGAACCCATGTAGGTATTGTTCTATTAGAAAAATTGGAAATGTTATCAATTTTCAGCCCCTGTAACAATGCGTTCTTAGTTATTTGCAACTAAAATGTCACACTAGCAATGAATATAATTTAGTAAATTTATTTCCCGATTGTTATTTAGTATCCTCTAAAATTCAGTTTTGTTTTAAGATAACATAATATTAGTATTTCCAGACTACTTTCTTCTTGATAAACGTCAAGTAAGAATCATATAGTCATTTTTAATGTCAAAAAAGACCGCAGACTTTTTTATATGTGATAATTTAATATGAGGTTAAATTCGATATTTATTGTACACACTATATCTTGAAAGCGATCGGGAACACGAGGAGAAATCAGATAATCATTAAAAATCAGATATTTCGGAATGATGCAGTAAGGATGTGAACTTTATTGGTACTATACGATATTAATAACACAATACATGAAGAGGCAGTATTTTCTTTTTCATTGTTAGTGTGCGGCTTCATAAAAACATGACTTTATAAAGAAGCGATTTAATGAAATCGACCTCATTTGTGTAGATAATACTATTTGAGGCGAGGTGAGGCTATTAAGCGAAACACTGATGGAGAATGGATATCCCGTGAAATTCCAAAATCACTGTAAAAGTCATAGTATATTAAGACCTACAATAATTCTGCAATCTGAAAAGCTGGTAATAACACCCTATCATTCATATGAGATTCAAATAACCTTGTTTGGGAAAAGAAATTTGAATCGCAGTTCAAAGTACTATACAGCAAAAAGTTATTATTATTGAAAACGCCAAAATCCGAGAGAGATTCGTATTCACCCCTCGCCATTACTCCATAAACAGTAACATGTGTAAATAAGCAAGTAATACTTCTACTAAACGTAATATTAGTATTCCTGACAATCAAAGTTATCGTTCACATTTTATTTCTGAAATGTTAACCATATCTTAAATCAATCACTCATTAAAGTACGCCTAGCAAATAAATTTGGTGCACAATTTATAGTAATGATTTTGCTAATACAAAAGTCTCCGTCATTTTGAACTATTTCTTCAGTGGCTAAAGATATTCTACACACGTTACATGTGGTTTCTTTTTATTCTAATTAAATATAACATTGTCCTCTAGAATTGCTCTGAAAGTGAACAAACAATCACATTATATATCTGCAATGAAATGGTGAGAATACTAGAAAAGACCACTATTGACGGCACATGCTTGGCGTTTAAATAAAACATTTCTTGTAAGGATGACACGAACAAAGTGATAACAACTTGACCTTTTGTAAACGACTTATTTTCTTATTACTGATAGATAAAAACTATTAGTAAAGACAGGCTGTGATATCGTTGCCTAGGTCAAATAGAGTTGATATGATCATTTAAAGCAAAGTAAATTTGTTTGCATAAGAAAATATCTTAATTGACTGGGACTAAATGAAGATATGAGATTTTAAAAATTCCAATCACAAAGTTTACCTTCAAGTGGAAATATTAAAAGGTAAATAATTCATTTTAATCTTTATCTAATAAAAGATAACGGGTATAGTGGAGTTTACAGCCTCTCAATTTAGAATTAGTATTAGTCAGTGAAGACATAATCAGTGTAATATTAATTCTGTTTCTAACAATATTCTATTCCAAATATATACGTTAAAATATGTATGCAGTGGAACTTATTAGTAGAAAATAAGATTACTATAGAAACAGCAACATTATCTAAGTACAGAAACACTCACAGTATCAAATCATTTAAGAGAGCTCGGTCAAGTAATCATGCAAAGAATATTCCAACGATTAAAGAAACCCATTTATTCATTGAAAGAAAGAATGAAGACATTTCAACGAGGAACAAAAGCATTCTTTTAGACGATATTATTTATTTAGCTGCATAATTGTATTTATAGGTAATTTCTACATATAGGGAGAAATTATGAGTGGACGAACCAATCAGATTCATTTATTATTATGGTCAAATAGCAATTTTGCATTATAGCCGATATCAGTCCATGATGAAAATCCTATCTCTGATTCCAAACCCTAACTTCTAACTTTGAATCACGATACTAATTAACTACCCTCTTTGGATCTAGCTTAAATGTTAGTTGTTCAAAGAGCGCGATGACTCATTTGCATGCTTACGTATATGTACTTCTTAATTCCTATCCATTCATCGTGTGCTTATTAGTCGTTTGATCTGTGTTATGCCATAATGATAAAGGCTATCAAAACAACTGTTGTACAAAGTACAGGAAATATTTCGAAGGTATTCCACTACAATCTGATTAACATATTAACGAAATAAAAAATAGCACAACGAGGTAATTCAGTTTCAGTCTACTGAATGTAAATATTATCCCATATTTTAAGCACATCAAACGTACTGTTAGTTATTCAATAAATATAATGAATGAAATCATATAAAAATAACACTTACAGACTGTTGATAAAATTTACGCAATATAGTTGACGCCATTAAAATGATAGTCAATAGTATTTGAAGCTTTAAATACCAAATAACATTTGGTCATATGTAACCCATATGTACACACACATACAGACATAAATTAAACATTTTTATGGACATGATTATACAACAACAGATAATGATGAACATTGATTGGCTTAAATAATATTGTCCTGACAATGCTACTATAATCAGAATGAGTTTTGTGGAGATAAGACAAATGAATTGAAAAACGTCTGTTGTTCAGGTCACGATTGATTTTTTGAAGTGTTCTGAGTTTTATAGGGAAATCGAGAAATATCTTTTATGTACGTTTTAAATGATTGTAGACTTCGAAAAATTGACACTGTTAATAAAATTTGGTCTGAAGTTTCCTACGGGGCGAAATGATGAAGAATAGAATGTAGACAAAATAGTCACAATTTGATCAATGCGCAAGCTTTTTATTCCAGTCTAATTGGTTAGGTTCCATGGAAAATGGATAATTTTCGTTGAACGATTCTCATCATAGTTTGTATAAGTTGCCTCAGTCGGTTCACATAATTGGAGAAGTAAAATTTTTAAGTAACCAAACTTATTAATGAATGAAGACGATTAATCATATTTAGCTTCTATCCACGAAAAGACAGAATACTAGTGTGTGCTAGCAATTCAGCAATGAAAGTGTTGATTATCAAAGAAGAATGAGGTTTGAAACAAGTCAATGCTAAACGCTTGGTAAAACACGTTTCATAGTTAATCCTGTGTATTATAGGAATAAAACTCATTTGATGTAGAAAGTCAACAAAATGTGGACACCAGTACATTAAAATTATTAAGAATTTGGCAAATAAATTGGATTAGTTACTTACACCTGTTATCTATTATGGAGGAGTATAGGCCACTCACCAGCATTCTCAATCCATATCTGTTCAGGGAAATATTTCTCACTTGTTTCCAATTGCTAATCATCCTTTTTATGTCTGCTTACAATTCTCGACACAATGTGTTCTTTGGTCTTCTTCTTCTTTAGTTTTTTCCGTTTCCCTTCAGGATACCAAGATGACGCTTGCGTCGTGATGCAGTTTGATGATTTCCTAAATGTATGTCCTATACACTTCCAACAACTTTTCCTAATTTCCTCTTCAACTGGGAGCTGAATTGTTCTCTCTCACGGTAAGCTATTGTCGAATGCATATAAATTTGAATATCTCTCATTATTCTAATTCCTTTCTCCCATTCAATTGATCTCGTCTCATGATATCTTCATATCCCGTGTTGTCCATTATGACTTTGGTGTTTACGTCTCACGTCAGGATGGTCTGATCACTTCTCTACAATCGATTACGGTCTCTCATAAAACTGATCCTTTTCGTCTTCATTTCTATCATTGGTGGGTGCATAGCACTGGATAACACTCATTGTCATTCCATACTCCTTTCTTCGAATGACGTTTTCATGGTTTTAGATCCATGAGGTTCCCATCCAATAAGTGCATTTCGTGCTTCTTTAGACAGTATCAGTGCAGCTCACTGTGTGTGAGGCATTTTCTTCTTCGTGATCAGAGTTCAAAAGCACCTCTTTGGAATTTAACGTTTTCTGTTCAGCTTTCTTCTAATGGTTTTCACTTGTTCTGAGAACCGTCAAGTTGCATCTCCTCATTTTCCGATCTATTCGATTGGTCGTTCCGGTCTTCTACATTGTCCGGACATTCCACGTACCTATATTAATTGTTGCTCTGGTTGTTAGAAGGGGCATTGGCCTCGTGACTTCCGAAGAATCTCGGCTTTTACTATGATTCGTCATATTTCTTTTGAATGAAGACCGTTTAACTAGGAGGACAGAGTTTAAATTGTTTGTTCTGGTTAGGGTTTTTTTTAGCAAATTTGTTTTCTACGAGATGGGGTTGCCTACCCCATTCTTTTACCTGTTTTGGGTCCGGCAGTAACCCTAGAAGAGCTACAAGAGGAGTTGAATGAACTGGATGCCGATGTAATAATCTCATATGACAAGATCCAATGATAAATTAAAACCAAGCAAGAACAACAACATTCATTCATTTTATTTCACGGTTTCTCATTAGCAACATATAACTCGAAATTGTAATTTTCCACATAATTATTAACAAATGTCTTTGATATAGTCTAGTTTTTGAAGTCTAGGTAAAATTTTGAAACGTGACCGAAATCATAACAATTAAAAGATAAGGATACAAAATGTATGTATAAACTTATTTAAGAGCATTGTGTGTATATATGTTCGAAAGTAATAATGCAAAATAGAGTAATCCAATGTAGTTGGGCAATCGCTCATCATGATAATATCATAATGAGATAATAATCGTTTAGCTAATTATTTAAGTAAAAGTATAGGTGTAGCGAATAGTAGGATAGTGTGTTGCAATTTCGCTTTAAATGAAACGAGGATGCGTACATTGTTTACTTGTACAAATAGTTCACCCAATCCACAGCGTCTCATATTCTTACTCTATACAAAAGCGACATCTGAACATGTTTAAACAAGTGTTCAGTATAGACTGCGTCTGCGAATCTTCAGAGACGAATTTCGCATCTATTATCATTGAATATCGAGGGATATATTCTTATATGACTGAAATTTCTAAAACTTGAATACTTTAACTCAATATAATATTATTAATTTCAATAATTGAGATCATGAGTCAATTGAAGTTAGACCATGCTGATACACACAGTTCTATGATTATACACTCATTCACCGTAAACGAAATGTGGTTAGATGCCTCACAAGCAGAGCAATAAAGATCTGGTCGACTGATATCATAAAGAAGGAGTTGGAGTTTCTTCATAAAATACTGATTGAGATAGGCTACCCGAGATTTTAGAGAAGTTCATGTATGAGGGTAAAAAATAAGTTGGAGATATTGACTAGTCATGTGAAACCTCTTCCAAAACGACAGTTAAACGGGGGTTTGGCTAGCGAATATCCTGCATGACAGATTAGTGACGGCAGTTAATAGGAAATTCTACGCATCTAATTTTGCATTGATGTTTTCTAGCAGACCAGTGATATGTACTCAAACAAGGGACAAGTTACCTGAGTTTACCTCTTCGATGTGTATCTACGAATTCAGCTGCTCCTGCAGAGATACCTATTGTGGGCGTACTACCAAGTCACTTTGCTAAGGAATGAGTGAACATCCCCAGCTTGGTTTGAAAATGGTCACGCAGCCCTATCTTGGGACACCTATTTGAAGTATTCATTTAGATTAACTTTTTTACTGGTTGTTTGAAAATTCTCATTGATGTTTAAAATTGCAATTGATCATTATCTTATTGAAATATGTTCAACATGTGCAGATTGCCTCGATATTACATTCAGTCACAAGCATTATTGGTAGAGATGATGGTAGCTAGTAGTGGAAGCCAGGACACGCGTTTCGTCCTATTTGGGACTCGACAGATGGATGTACCCGCATCCTAGAGTTCATGATGTATGATATGCAACGCAAACTTATGAAAAGCAACCAGATAACAATAAGATCAAACATTAAAAGTTTATTTTTGTAATGCAACAGGATGTAAGCGATTGTTTCACATCCAATTAAAACTAGAACTTTTGTTATTTTATTATTCTTATCACTACTACTAGTACATCTATTTTCTTACTATCAATTCGTACTGTTTACTTATTATGCAATTATGGTATACAATCTATTTCATTGTGATAGGATAAAAATAAAGAGAATTCAGAGTAGAAAATTCTCCTCTCGATTATGAGCAATTCAAAACAACTCCTGTAGATCGTCTAAATGATGCGTAGGCATAATAACTAAAACTAGACGATTACTCACAAAAGAACATAAATCTCATTTATTTGGTTTTCTAAGAAATCGGGATTTTGTGTTGAATCATCCAGATAAGGAAGCAAGTACTGTCCTTTTGGATTGTCTCGACTATGTTATTAAATTATCCTCGATATTCTCAGATGCTGATAAATTGTAACAATGCGTTCTTAGTTATTTGCAACTAAAATGTCACACTAGCAATGAATATAATTTAGTAAATTTATTTCCCGATTGTTATTTAGTATCCTCTAAAATTCAGTTTTGTTTTAAGATAACATAATATTAGTATTTCCAGACTACTTTCTTCTTGATAAACGTCAAGTAAGAATCATATAGTCATTTTTAATGTCAAAAAAGACCGCAGACTTTTTTATATGTGATAATTTAATATGAGGTTAAATTCGATATTTATTGTACACACTATATCTTGAAAGCGATCGGGAACACGAGGAGAAATCAGATAATCATTAAAAATCAGATATTTCGGAATGATGCAGTAAGGATGTGAACTTTATTGGTACTATACGATATTAATAACACAATACATGAAGAGGCAGTATTTTCTTTTTCATTGTTAGTGTGCGGCTTCATAAAAACATGACTTTATAAAGAAGCGATTTAATGAAATCGACCTCATTTGTGTAGATAATACTATTTGAGGCGAGGTGAGGCTATTAAGCGAAACACTGATGGAGAATGGATATCCCGTGAAATTCCAAAATCACTGTAAAAGTCATAGTATATTAAGACCTACAATAATTCTGCAATCTGAAAAGCTGGTAATAACACCCTATCATTCATATGAGATTCAAATAACCTTGTTTGGGAAAAGAAATTTGAATCGCAGTTCAAAGTACTATACAGCAAAAAGTTATTATTATTGAAAACGCCAAAATCCGAGAGAGATTCGTATTCACCCCTCGCCATTACTCCATAAACAGTAACATGTGTAAATAAGCAAGTAATACTTCTACTAAACGTAATATTAGTATTCCTGACAATCAAAGTTATCGTTCACATTTTATTTCTGAAATGTTAACCATATCTTAAATCAATCACTCATTAAAGTACGCCTAGCAAATAAATTTGGTGCACAATTTATAGTAATGATTTTGCTAATACAAAAGTCTCCGTCATTTTGAACTATTTCTTCAGTGGCTAAAGATATTCTACACACGTTACATGTGGTTTCTTTTTATTCTAATTAAATATAACATTGTCCTCTAGAATTGCTCT